CCCAAATAGACAGCGGAAAACAACACATGGACAGCGGACCCCACATGAGTGGAACACACGCGTGGAAGAAGAAGAAGACGTGTTTACAACATGGGGTCGGGGGAGTGCCCTGGTGAGGATTACATATTGGATTTTCTTTTAATGGATTTATCCAGCTGAGTTTTTGGAAAACATCTCCGAATGTTGCTGTGCGCACGCACGCATGGCCTTGCTGGAGACGTCGCAACCCCACGGAACCCCGAGGAGGCGCTGGCCCTGGCTACAAGCAGCGGTGTCACGCGCCAGTCCTCTCCCTCGATATTCACAGCCCATTCTCACTCCACTGCTGGACCATGAAGGTTTCCCTACGCCCGTTACCATTCGTGTCGCCTCTTTAGACTTGTGCTTTCCCCGCGAGGTATCTCCCCCCCACCCCCTACTCCCTCTCGGCACGACTCGCAATAATTGAGTTGCTCTCTCTCTCACACTGACAAAGCGGATACACAGAGCGCCTTGCTAACGCCGCGTGGACGCATAGTGTGGGCAATTGTGATCTCTCTGTATTGTGGCCTTAAGGACATATGGGTGGGGCCGGGGGAGGGGGTACACGGGGGAGGACGGGGTGGCGGTAGCCTTGAAGGCAGAGAGGTCGTGCAGTTGTAATGATACTGCTGCATCCTCGTGGTTCCCAATGTTTTATTTCGCCCTCCCCCCTACCCCCTGCAGTCAAGATCACTGCCCCCCCCCCCCACCAAAGCCCTCGTATCCCCCGCCCCATCCCCAGGTTGCTAAGGCCACGTCCGTCTCGCCACCCTAACGTGGTGCTGAGCTTCCCATGGGGCCGGGGGGGGGGGCGTGGTTACGCTACAAGGGTTGTGCAGCCTCAAACTTGAGAGGTTACCACTCCCTGTGGAGTGTTAGCGAGTGCACGGCAACTCGCACGAACCCGAGCTCTCCGAGTTCTTAGCACGAGCGTTGCTCGCGAGCGCCCGTGCGGGGCTGCGCGCTAAGCTTGCGAAGGGCTCTTTCGAGCTCCCTCGAGTGGGGGGGAGGGAGGCCCCTTCCGCCAGCAGTGGAGTGAGCAGGGTCCATGCCTTTTATATATTTTTACTTGTACGTGAAGCCACTCAAGAACAACGAGGACAAAAACAAAAACCCTGGCCGAATATCTCAATGTTTGCAGGACCCTCCTGTAAATAAGTCTTGAGCCTCAGCGGGGCTCTCTTGGGGCGATGTGAAGGGTCGGTGCTGTTAATGTGTTTATTCATTCGCGATATACGGTGCCCGGCTCATTAAATATTCACCGCACGCTGCACGCAAATCTCATTTGTGTGCGGAGCGCCGCGTCTACCGGCGCTGTTCATTCAGCACCCCCCCCCCAGCCCTCACCAGCTGGGGGGAGGGGCAGGGTGTGTTAGTGTGTTAACTATCATAAACACACACGTACATGCGTACACACAGACAGGCCAGATTGCATGATATAACATGCAAGACAAAGATAATCGCCCGTATAGTCTTTAAAATATTGTACTGTTGGGGCAAGTGGTGTTAGCGAGCAGCTATGAAGGTCGACACACGCCACCGATGATAGCGAGCACACAACCGACTGGCACGGACCCGCGCACTCCGAGCGTCATGACGCTCGCGCGTCGTCTGGGGGCTGCGGGCGAAGCTCACGCAGGGCCGCTCCTCGTCTGCTCGCTCAAGTCGAGGGAGACCTCGACATTGCATTGAATGTCCGCGGCGCGATGATCAGGCGGCACTGTTGCGAGTTAGAGAAGCATTGTAGTGTGATTTTGTGTTAAATGTTTTGTTTTATTACTTTAAGTAACGAGCAATCATCGCACACTCCTTCACTCCCTTCATACCTCACTCCACCCTCACTTAAACCATCCCTGTCACTCCATCCATTACACCATCACACCATCACACAATGACACCATCCCTCACTCATTGATACCACCCCTCACTCGCTCACACCATCCTTGCCTCACGTACACACTCCATCCTTTGCTCACTGTCTCAGATCATCCCTCCATCTCTCCCCCCCCCCGCTCTTTGTGGTCGCGCACCGCGCAGTGTTGCGATGCGGAGTCCGGCGTCGAGATGAGATGAGGCGGCGACGCGAGTGTCATTTCGCACGAACATGCGGTCACTGAAACTGAAATGTCGCGGAGGTGGCAAAGGGCTTCTCTAAGAACGCGTGTGGGACACCCGAGGCGAGACCGCGGCGCCGACCTCGTGGGCACTCCGAATATTTGGGACCGAGCAGTGGCTGCGACGCTGCTGTGCGTGGCCGCCCGTAACCCAGCGCTGTGGAGGCAGCAGCGTGGGATGGTGGATCACCGCACACACAAATGTTGTGACGCTGCCTTCCCGTGGGCGTCGAGGAGGTGCCGTTCGCCCTGACTTGCCAGGAGGGGGTGGTACAGCAAAATGTAGATTCGTCTCCATCTGTTCCATCTGTATGGAATCTGAGTTTTGCCCCCGAGCATGCGCGAGTTTTCTCTACATGAGCCAGCTTCCTCGGACATGTCAATTCACTGAAGACATCTCCATATAAAAACCGCAATGTAGCAGAACTCTGTCTAACACGTGGCAGGCTTTCGCGACCAACATTATCCATAACAGAGGTTTTTGGTTTAGATCGCGTAAATGTGTCGTTCAACCCGCCACCACCCGGCACATCTCTGGCTGTCACCTGATGATGCCAGATGTAATTACCAGCGAAACGTCGTACGAGAATGTAAATGTTGTGGGTTTCCTCTCCAAAACACCGGAGTGCTGAACTAGTAACGAATTGGCACGTTTTGTTTACGTGACAAACCTTACTGATTAGCTGTGTCGGGTGGTGGCGGGTTTAACGACTTATTTATATTTAAGCGATCTCACTAAAACACCTCTATTATATTTTGATTTAAAGCTTTCGTAACTGCAGTAATTCATATTCTTAGCTCTTTCGGTAAAGTCACGTTGAAGGGAAACAATAAGAATACCTCTATTATAGATAGCAGAACACGTTCAGTGTGAATGAGAATATTGATTTTGCTCCGGCCTCTATTCTTAGTCATAGCTGGACTCAGCCTTCACTCTGGCTCAAGTGGAGATGGCTCAAAGCCACCCGTAACACGAGCCGGTTTTCGGAGCAAGGTCTCGGCCGTGCTCAGAATTTCTGCGAGCCGAGCCTCGACTTCCAAACGCGGCGTGAGCCGTCGCTAGATGATAGAGATTCCCAGGGCAGCAAGAGGAGTCCCACAGTCACCACTCTGTGAGCCACCCTCGCGGTGCCCCTGATGAGCTGGCCACAGGATGGTGGCACGCGCAGTGGCCAAAGTGTCACTGATCTTGCCGCCTGTGAATAACCTCGCGACGGCTCAATCTCAGGGCCGTGTTCGCAGCCACGGTTCGCCTCTGGCTTGGCTTCCCAACGCGGCTCAGCTCAGGCACGAGCCGTTCAGTTGCTTTCAAAGACGCACGAGAGAGCGGTTCAGCCGTGCCTAAGCTCAGGTTCGGCTCCCGAGAAATCCCCAGCGCAGCTGGGACCACGTCCACGTGGAGCCGCCTCTTCACGCAAGTCGCCCACTCCCCCTCCAGCTCCCCCTCCCCCTTGTTGCTGCTGTCCTGGCACTGGCCCACCAAAGATTCGATCCGCCAGCTACCACCCCAGCGGGCATTCGTTTCCCCACGTTGTTTTATACGAGGGGTCGGAAACCAAAATAACAATGAGAAATTGTTTTTCCGAATTTGGTAAAAACGCCTCGACATTTCCAGAGCCGCAATGCAATGTGAATCCGAGCCGGTCCTAAATCACGTGACGAAGCAGTCCTTAAAGAGCCGCCGGTTGCCGACCCCGGTTCTTTACGAAATCCTCTCTGTCATTCATTTGATTCGGTCTCTCCGTTGTCGCCCGTAACTGGGTTAATGCTTGAATTGGCACTTAAAAACTGTTATATAATTTCCCTGCGGTAGCAACGCAATTGTGGCCAGCGAAGCTGCTGCTGTTGCAGTTTCCCTGATCTGGCAGCCCGTTCCTATCGGTATCGCTGGATTTCGTCGTGATTTTGTTAAGCCAATGCCCGCAGCCTTAACGTTGTGAATGATGGACGCTTGTGTTGCGCCCGAAACGTCGTGATTTATTTTATTTTATACCTACGTGACTTTACTGAAAGAACCAAAGTATGGATTCCTGCAGCCACGCAAGCTTCAAATGAAGGTTGTGAAGCTGGTTTGGAGTCATTTATTTGCACGAATGAGGCTTCAATGAGGAGGGGGATTCGATGAGACCCCTCCCCTCCCCGCCCCCCCCCCCCCCCCCCAGTGATGAAACAGCTGCCCCCTTATCCAAGATTTTAATACCAGAACGTTAAAGACATTGAGTGTTCGCTCTATCGACGTTCCTCCTCGATGTCCCATCCTGACGGGCCATCGCCGTTGGCCACGCGGCTGTGCAGACAGCACACACACGTGCTTAACCTCACCACCCCAAACTTCCTCCTCCCATTCCTAAGTAGTGGCGGCAGCGGCGGTGAAGATGCTTGCTTTCCTCTCTCATTCGCTCCTCTTTTCCCTTTCTCTTACACCCCCTGATGTCCCTCCTACCATCCCTCTCCACATGTGTTCCTTTGTTCGTGACTTCCTGCAGGAGGCGATGATGATTATGCATTAGCCATTTGCATGGCAGGCAAACGTGCAATGGAAAATGTGCTGCGGAGCGTGGCTGAAGGATGGATTTTGGCATGCCACGTGTGGAGGGCAGTAGAGTGAGATGAGAGGTAGGAGAGTATGTGGAGAGTGCGTGGAGGGGATGCAGTGATCTGAGAGATAGGAGAGTGCTTGGAGGGGAGCAGAGTGAGACGAGAGAGGAGAGGCAGGCAGACACGGGTCCATTGAGGATCTTTAATATGGCGAGGGTGAGGAGTCTGGCAGTGGCACTTTGGATCTGCTAGAGTTTTGGAATTGTGTTGAATGCAGATTTAGACCACATAGAACACCGTAAGATAAAATGCGACCTTCAAGTGTGCTCAAAATTTGCTTTTTTTTATTGTAAACAAACAAAATCTAGCGTGGAGGGCAAAGTCTCCGCAAATGTCTCAACGCGTCTCCACAAGTCCCTCCACTTGTCACCGTGCGCCCCGTCTTCTAATACTCCATGTGCACCTCCAGGTCCCCGTACAGATCCTCCAGCATCTCCAGCACGCGCTCCTGTATCTCCTCAACCTGGTCTGGGGGACAGTAGTCGTCCAGGCTGGACCTATAACATACACAGGGTCAACAACACACACACAAAGAAGACAAAGATCACCCGTATAGCCTTTAACATGCTGTTGGGGCCACGTGCTGTTAGTGAGCACCTATGAAAGGCCGGCAAGGCACACAAAAGGATGGGTGGCCAGCACCACACCCAGCCACTTTTGTCTCCCCACTGGTGATGTTTCCTCACTGCAACATGAGCTAATTTTTGGACCAAATGTGGGGGGAGGACCAGGACCGGTCCAGATATCATTCGCTCCTTATGTTAGGTGGCCGGGTTCTTAGCACACTACACCACACATGCGCAGAAACACACGCAGACGCATAAGCGGTCGGTATATATGCAGAATGTACTATCACCCCCCACATATGGGTCCAGTATTTATGCGGACTGAACCAACTCACAACGCAACGCAAAGGGGTGCGTGCTCATCCATCTTGAGCCACAAAGATCCCCCATGTAGCCTTGATTGTTGGGGCACAGCACACGAGGGAGTGGGTGGCCAGCACCATACCTGGCCGCCTTTGTCTCCCCAGTGCTGATGTTTACACACCACACCACACCACTCATTTAAGGCTGTGTCGACTTAGGTAAGGCACAGAACCGATTCAAGCATACATCACTGACGTTGGCCATGAGCTGGAATCGAACTCGAGTTGCCTGGTTCGTCCCGCAGCTCGCTCACCACTACACTGCCGCTCCCCAAATACTGAACCACAAACATGAGGCCAGTATGCATGCGGACTGTACCAAGAACACACACACACGGGGTGAGGGCACAAGGAGGCGAGCGGACCGTGCCATGGTGACGATGGTGGGGGGTGGCAGCACGCACAGCGCATCCCTCAGACCGAGCAGCAGGGCGTTGAGCTCTGGCTGCGAGCTCACGTGATGCGGCAGCTCCTGGTCGTCGCACGTCAGGCCCGCCTGGTGCACCTGCACGCACGCGACGCACGTGGAGCAGTCGCAAACGGGGTCGCGTGACCGGGTGCGTAAATCGCAATAAGCAGAGGACTGTGGGGCAGCGTGGGGCAGCGTGGGGGCAGCGTGGGGGTAGCGTGGGGCAACGTGGGGCAGCGTGGGGGCAGCGTGGGGCAACGTGGGGCAGCGTGGGGCAGGGTGGGGCAGGGTGTGGCAGGGTGGGGCAGGGTGGGGCAGGGTGAGGCAGGGTGGGGCAGCGTGGGGGCAGGGTGGGACAGGATGAAGCAGGGTGGGACAGGGTGGGACAGGGTGTGGCAGGGTGGGGCAGGGTGTGGCAAGGTTGTTGCAGGGTGTGGCAGGGTGGGGCAGGGTGCGCCCTCTCCCCTCTCTTCTCACTCTACTCTCCTCCACGACTCTCCCATCTCTCCCCTCTCTCGTGGGTTATCGCCTAGTCGTGGTAAAGAAGCTTGTGTGCCTCCATGACTTAGAGAGAAAAGCCGGCAGGAGCCTTAGGCTCCCCGTAGGTTCACTCATGCCGGACTGATCAAAGGGTAGAGGACAGACGAAATGGACAACCTCTGGTCCTCAAGGTTGGGGGTTGGGCGTGGGGCTAACAATCCCACCTCGGAAAGGAAAACCCAGAATTGTTATGGAGCTGCAACAAGAAAATAAGAGAAAGCTGCTAAAGGTCATCTGGCATGGCGTGGGTTTGTTGCGGCCTTATGCTCCACAGGGAGCGAAGAAGAGTAAGATAAGAAGATCGTGAAACTGTACTGCTTCACCCTACGAACTCTCAGATAAAGCAACCAAGGCTGTTTGTTGATGCCCCGAGTCGACCTTCGTTCACAGCAGGTCGCTCATTCCCTTCTGCTGCCCCCATAGTTTGGAACTCCCTCCCCCAGCAATCCATGCCTCTGTTCAAGTCCATGCTCAAGATCTTTTCTCCTCTGCCTATGACGGATCGCCTCGTTCTCTCTATGAAATGAACACACCCATTGTTTCCACGCAGCGTCTTGAGACGTGGCCACACGTAGTGCTGTGTAACTCCACATTGTGTTGTGTGGTTTTAGAATCAGGCTGTGTTCATAGTCTAATTGCACATTGGACACTTCCTGCCAATTGTTTGATTTGACCTTGGTGGCCCTGTCGCCCCAGTTGGCTGCCTGGGGGAAGTTTCTCCAGTGTCTACCTGCTCCGTTGTTATTTCTGTTCACGTCTTTTTCCCCATTCTCCCTGTTTTTTTTACGACGATGTATTGCTCCCGCACGTGTGTACGTTTGTGCGCAAATGCGTACAGCCCTTTTGTAAACCCGTTTACTGGACGAGGGCCTCCCCGCCACGCCTTGTGGGTCGTGGGAGTTACTTGATCATACTTCGCCACGCTAGTCAGTGCGGGTTCATATCAGCAGGAAGCACGGACGTGTTCAGCACAGTATTCTACAACAATGGAATTTGCTGCCCGCAATAGAACTCCACGGCAACAACCTTCAACATCGAATCAAAGCAGTATCCAGGCTTAGCAGCAGCTGCTTAGCTTCCGAAAACAGGTGCCTGCTGGGTAATTTGGTCGTAGGCATGTTTGCCCGGTGGCCACATCGCTCGTGACGGAAACACCGTCGTGTTTTCGTGGAAACATCTGAGCAAAATTGACTGTCACCCCACGGAGTTTTATCACAGCCCGCCTTTGCCCTGCCGTGGCTTGCCACCCACGGCTAAGTGCACAGTGAGAAGGACTGGGTCATCACCATCTCGTAGTCAGGCCGCTCCTTCAGCCTGCTCTTTAGACTTTTCACAAGCTTGACCAGCGACGTCCACCTGCAATTGCAAATTACAAATCGTGAGTTGAGTTTTTGAGCCAGCTGGCCAGGACTGGGAAGGGGCGTAGCCCACTTTTCACCCATAGACTAACATTGACCATCGATTAACATTGACCATAGATTAACACTGACCATCGATTAACATTGACCATAGATTAACACTGACCATCGATTAACATTGACCATAGATTAACATTGACCATAGATTTACACTGACCATCGATTAACATTGACCATAGATTAACATTGACCATAGATTAACATTGACCATAGATTTACACTGACCATAGATTTACACTGACCATCGATTAACATTGACCATAGATTAACATTGACCATAGATTAACATCGACCATAGATTTACACTGACCATCGATTAACATTGACCATAGATTAACATTGACCATAGATTAACATTGACCATAGATTTACACTGACCATCGATCAACATTGACCATAGATTAACATTGACCATAGATTTACACTGTCCATCAATTAACATTGACCATAGATTTACACTGACCATCGATTAACACTGACCATCGATTAACATTGACTATCGATTAACATTGAGCATCGTTTAACATTGACCATCGATTTACATTGACCATCGATTAACATTGACCATAGATTTACACTGACCATCGATTAACATTGACCATCGATTTACATTGACCATCGATTTACTATGACCATAGATTTACATTGGCCATCGATTAACATTGACCATAGATTAACATTTACCATAGAATTACATTGACCATCGATTAACATTGACCATCGATTAACATTGACCATCGATTTACATTTACCATAGATTTACATTGACCATAGATTTACATTGCCCCCAGACTTGCATTGCCTACAGACTAACATGCCCACAGACTTAGAACGCCCATAGACTAACATTGCCCAAAGACTAACATTGCCGATACACTTACAATGAACAGGACTATGATTGCACATAGGCGAACATTTCTTTGAATGAGTTTTAGCGCTAGGCTGAGCAGGACTGGGCAAGGACGGATCGTCACCACTTCTCACCCAGGCAACTGGAACACAGACTTGCTACTCTAATGACAAACAATTGCACGTATTTAACAATGCTCAGTTTACAAAATAAATGACAAATATACACTTAAGAATTTAAATGAAACATTTTTAATTTTAAATATTCGACTATTCTCATCCTCCCTTGGACACTGCTCCAATGTGGAGCCAGGACTCTTTTCAAAACTGTGGTGGAACCATCTCTGACAGAGAGCAAAAGGTCACCGCTTAAGTGCAGTCCTCAAACGCAAGTCTGTCAGGGTGAGGTACAATTGGTAAACTTTCCCTTCAGATTACAGAAATGTGGGTTCAACCAAACCTTACATATCTATGGGGACCTTTCACCACTATCAAGATATTTATGCCAGGAAAGGTGAAACCATTTTCGGCATTCAACTCTTGATACAGGCAAAAGAGTCGCACAGACACATGGTAACTGCTTAACCCGAGCTATTCATGCTTTGGTGTTTGCATTATCTCCCTACTTTTCGCCTTTTGGCAGACTTTGATCTCGCATTGGTGAGACCACGCTATGAAAGAGTACGTCTCTGGTGTAGGCCAATCACTTTCAAAGAGTGTGTACAATATCGAAACACATTTGCTTGGAATTTTTTCCCCACAAGTATGCGTGGTTACTGCAGACTAGATGTCTTGAAATAGGTGTCTATTTGGTGTTTGAACACCTGAACGCCTGCCAGTAAGCCTTTTTATATAATTCAAACCTTACATATAAACAGGATAGGAGTTTTGATTTAAAGCATTCGTGACTGCAGGGATTCATATTCTTGGTTCTTTCGGTAAAGTCACGTAGACGGGAAACAATTAAATAATAAAAATATAAAACAATAAAATTCTCACGACGTTTCGACTGCAACACAAGCAATCATCATCAGGTGTGAAAAACCACAGCAAGAAAACGTCGTGAGAATTTTATTGTTTTATATTTTTCTTATTTTATTGTTTCCCTTCTACGTGACTTTACCGAAAGAACCAAGAATATAGGATAGCAGTTCCTTTTCCTTTTGTCTGTTCAGGAAATATCATTTAAAGAGCTCAATAAAGTGCCATGTGGAATAGGTACCTAGCCTCTGAAATAAAATCCAGATAAGAATAAAAAAAAACATCAATTTGTTCTGTGGCTGAACACAAATATATAAAAACTCATCACATCACAGTCGTCATGAACACCGCCTTGGAAACGGGCTGACATTTTGAGCAACGACCCTTATAATCAGGGGCAGCCGGTGCCTGAAAAGAGCCCCTATTATTTTCTGCAGTGACACTGTTATTGATTCACGTGGAGTGGTTTCTATTTGTTATTTGTGGTAGTGAGAGGTGATCGAGGGAAGATGCTTGGAAGAGCAGCAGAAGACAAAAGAACGTGGAGGGAGAGAACTGTACCACTGCGGACCTATCTACGCACAAGACACCTCTCGTACAAACGCATGGCCCCTGCCACGTCACTCCATCATTTCCTCTCTTTGTACCGATTTTATTACAGTCACGTTATCATAGTCACGTTGTGACAAGACAATTAAATTTACATTCCTGACTATTTTGATTAGTTTGCTGATATAAATGTCCAAATGATAAGCCTCTTCGTTGAGTTCTCATTGATGGCCGGGTCGCTTTTGAAAAACAAGTTCATACCACGGTAGGCTTTGTCTAGTAGGATGGGGATGGTTTAGTTTTATTTGTATGTGTTTGGGTGATTTATTTACCTTTCTTGGTCTTTGCACTACAATCGTGTTTGTGTACTCTTTGCTGTTGTGACATTCTTGCCCGCCCCTACTGGACATCTGTGAAAAAAAGCTTTCTAGTTCATTGGATTCCTCCAGTATAAATATATATTCTGATTCTGATTCTGACATTACCGTGCGTCTGCCAACAGGCACCGAGGGTGACTTCACGGAGCTGGTTTCCAAGGTCACTCTTCGTTAACCTCTCATCTGCACGAGCGGCACCTTCATCAACATTTATATTTTTATATTTATTTCGGAGACGATTGGGGGCACGGTGCAGCACGAGTGCACGTCGTGTAACCTTTGGCGGTGGGGGCGTGGGGTGAGTGCGGTTTGGTGGCGAATGGCATAGCGGCACACGCACAGTTTATTAGCACGGTGGCGATCGTGCGGTTTGAGTGTGACGGCCGTGATAAGTCGCTAGTGGTGCAATGGGTGCGGTGGTGCAATGGGTGTGGTGGTGCGTGTGTGGGTCGTTTGATATTGTCTTGATACGTGCGCTGGTGCGGTTTGGTCGAGGCGTCTCGACACTTAGCCTGCAGCGTGTGTCGCGAGTGCGGTCGTGGGGCATCACCGTGGGTCGTTGTCGAGCACCTCCAGGCTCTCGGGGCCATCGTCTCGGCTCAGCTCCACAAATGCCAGCTCCAGCTCCTCCAGGTGCTGCTGACGCCGTCTCACGGCACTCACCAGAGCCTGCACAGCAACCACCGCCACAACCACCACCAACACAACCATATGTAAGCCACAACCACCACCATCACCAAAACTACGGCAATCATATTGTTTGGTTCTTTCGGTAAAGTCACGTAGATAGAACGTAGATGTTTCGATCAAAACACAAGCGATCTTCTTTAGAAGATAATCGCTTGTGTTGTGATCGAAATGTCGTAGTTAATATTTTATTTACTATTATAATTTATCTACGTGACTTTACCAAAAGAACCAACGAATATGAATTCCTGCAGTCACGAAAGTTTTAAGTAAACATTTTATGGCAATAATTTCAACCACTCCAAAACACAATCATCACATCCACACATTCATCTGAACCACCACTGCATTCACCACTACAATCACACACGCACACCACCATTGGACTCACAACCACCACAACGCAGCACACAGGCCACCAAGGGCTGCACCTCAAAGCAATGCAATGGTACTGCTGCTGGGCCATGATTTCAGCAGAGGGCAATGCCTCAACATCCACTTTGTCCGTACTTCCATGAGCCCCATGCTCCCACGCCTGTGCTCCCCACCCGCGCTCCCCGCTCACACCAACACACACTGACCGGTGTGGTGAAGTATGGTCAAACAACCCGCATGACATGGGAAGACCCTCATCCAGCATCAGACTGACGTGTATACAGTGAGGGAAAAAGGTATTTGATCCCCTGATGATTTTGTACGTTTGACCACTGACAAAGAAATGATCAGTCTATAATTTTAACGGTAGGTTTATTTGAACAGTGAGAGACAGAATAACAACAAAAAAATCCAGAAAAAGGCATGTCAAAAATGTTATAAATTGATTTGCATTTTAATGAGGGAAATAACTATTTGACCCCTCTGCAAAACATGACTTAGTAGTTGGTGGCAAAACCCTTGTTGGCAATCACAAAGGTCAGACGTTTCTTGTAGTTGGCCACCAGGCTTGCACACATCTCAGGAGGGATTTTGTCCCACTCCTCTTTGCAGATCTTCTCCAAGTCATTAAGGTTTCGAGGCTGACATTTGGCAACTCGAACCTTCAGCTCCCTCCACAGATTTTCTATGGGATTAAGGTCTGGAGACTGGCTAGGCCACTCCAGGACCTTAAGGTGCTTCTTCTTGAGCCACTCCTTTGTTGCCTTGGCCGTGTGTTTTGGGTTATTGTTATGCTGGAATACCTATCCACGACCCATTTTCAATGCCCTGGCTGAGGGAAGGAGGTTCTCACCCAAGATTTGACGGTACATGGCCCCGTCCATCGTTCCTTTGATGCGGTAAAGTTGTCCTGTCCCCTTAGCAGAAAAAAACCCCCAAAGCATAATGTTTCCACCTCCATGTTTGACGGTGGGGATGGTGTTCTTGGGGTCATAGGCAGCATTCCTCCTCCTCCAAACACGGCAAGTTGAGTTGATGCCAAAGAGCTCCATTTTGGTCTCATCTGACCACAACACTTTCACCCAGTTGTCCTCTGAATTATTCAGATGTTCATTGGCAAACTTCAGACGGGCATGTATATGTGCTTTCTTGAGCACATATACACGAGGTGAGATCTTGCATGGAGCCCCAGGCCGAGGGAGATTGACAGTTCTTTTGTGTTTCTTCCATTTGCGAATAATCGCACCAACTGTTGTCACCTTCTCACCAAGCTGCTGGAAATGGTCTTGTAGCCCATTCCAGCCTTGTGTAGGTCTACAATCTTGTCCCTGACATCCTTGGAGAGCTCTTTGGTCTTGGCCATGGTGGAGAGTTTGGAATCTGATTAATTGATTGCTTCTGTGGACAGGTGTCTTTTAAACAGGTAACAAGCTGAGATTAGGAGCACTCCCTTTAAGAGTGTGTCCTAATCTCAGCTCGTTACCTGTATAAAAGACACCTGGGAGCCAGAAATCTTTCTGTTTGAGAGGGGGTCAAATACATATTTCCCTAATTAAAATGCAAATAAATGTATAACATTTTTGACATGCGTTTTTCTGGATTTTCTTGTTGTTATTCTGTCTCTCACTGTTCAAATAAACCTACCATTAAAATTATAGACTGATAATTTCTTTGTCAGTGGGCAAACGTACAAAATCAGCAGGGGATCAAATACTTTTTTCCCTCACTGTACATATACACTTTTTATGCAATCTGGTTTTGTTTGCTTAATTAAGAGGGGTTCGTTGGAAATGTTTCTAAATTATTGTTAAACCTACATTTGTTACTTTAAAATGTATTTTACCCTAAATGACTTCATGCAGCTCAGGTCAACTGTGCGAAAGAGGCAATGCGTTCATTCGCGCGTCTAGTTAAATCCAGGAGTACACATGCGTGGGTAAGCACATTATCAGGCTATAGTAGCACTGTCCGGCCCAGGTAAAATCCCTCCGCGACAAACGCAGCTCAACACAGCAATGCCGTCACCTCCTCCGTGTCCGTGTCCGGCCGGGAAAACGCGTAGAGGTCGTGTAGCAGCGCCAGCTCCGCCTGTCGACAAACGCGATCGCGAGTTACGAGCAAAAAGCAACGGCGGCAAAGACCCGGGCAAAATCCGCTTTGCTGTACTTCTATGACCTCGCGTCTCTGCTCACACCGCCTTCACCAACCTGCACTGACCAGTGCACAGACGTGGGCAAGCCCCCATCTAGGATACACGTGCAGATGATAATGGAGTTCTACAATTACAATTCTTGTATTTTTCTGCAGGTTCCAAAGCTCCGCTCATTGCAGTGGACAGATGCCAGCAGTGCCGTCACTTGCTGTACCTGTGTTCGCGTGAAGGTGAAACGATGAGGCGAGGAGAAGGGAACACGGAGGGGGGTGGGGGGCAATGCATAGCGAGCAGAGCATCGAGCGATATCCCCGTGTACGAGTGGTGGGTTTTCTCTGGGTGGGTAATATAGTTTCCTCTCACATAGCACCAAATACTCAGTCACGGAATCGGCCCAACATCGTCCCAACGCAGGATCCTTCTGAGAGAGTCCTGTGACCTCTGGATGTTTTCCTGGGGTCCATACACGGGATTATCATGACCGCACGTGGGAGCCGTGACGTAGCGCCACCTCGTGGTCACTGCCGAGCGTGCGTGCCCTTTGCTGGTACGAAGCCTCACTTCAGCTCCTCCTGCCGTCGCTTTGGGCGTCGGCGAGTGGATTAAAGAGGCGTCGTCGCATTAAGGAGACATTAAGCCTTCACCGCTGCGATTTTGAGTCAAATGATTTGGCGTTTCATTTAATGTGCCAAAAAGTCTTTGCTCTTAGAATTAAAAACTTACGTTTCAGTTTTATTGCCATGTAACGGGCATTTCTACGGCACGGTGCATGAATGAAATGTCACTTCAAGGACTCACAGAATGAGTTCTGATATCGCTTTTCGCATGCAGCCATCCAACACGGGGGCGACGCACTGCCCTGCGAGAGTTCCGAGTGAACACTGCCTCGTGACATGACACCGATAGGACGTACGGAGAACAAAAGTTGAACATAACACAAGAAGATGATACATGCTGAGCAAGAGATTAGTGTGGATAATGGGCACAATAATCAGCACAGCATCTAAGAAAAGCACGGATCACTCTCCTCGTTGAAGCCGTGCCAATATACGAGGCTCCCAGAAGCACAACTGCAAAAGTCACGATGCACTCGGTCAACTGGAGGACAACCGTTGCTGCACCATTTTGTATCGTAATAGAACCCTTTAGTTGCCCAAATCTGTCAAAATCTCATTGCTTTTTCAGCGAGCAGGCAACTGGGGATGGAAACTTCCAATCAGACCACAGGTGACAATACGCGATGTTGTGTTCCATGTAGGCCAATTGTTTTTCACCGAACACAATTTTCAACAAACTCCGTATTCGCTGAACTCCGTCATTTATCCAATACCGTACTGAGCTGCCATAGCGGCCCATGGTTAACTGCGAGCGCTGGTGATGATTTCCCTTGAAAAAAACTCTGCTAGTGTACACCGTGTCCTCAAAATATCGTGTTAATTCGGGGGTGGTGTGCCCCAGCATAAACGTCTTATGGACAAAAGCCTGCTATATTCACCAACATCAATTTAGAATGTGTTTTTGCGTCATAATAATTATGAAAAAGCATCATGAAAGGGTTAGAAAAGAACGTGACAATCTACCAAAAATCACAATCCAATTTCGAAAACTGCACAGTACTAAATTGAACAACTCTCTGGAGCGTAACTTTTCTGGGATAAAATTTTTTTTTATTTGAGTACAGCAGCAGCTGTGGGATCTGGCAGATGATAGAAAGCGTTAGCGAGGTGTGGTGGTATCAACCGCTTTAGCCGTCATGACATCGTGATATATACCTAAAGAAAAACCTTTATGTCCAGGAGGACACGGTATAATTGGTGATGTGAGCCTGGTAGTCGCGTGTTTGCCGCTTGTTTGCAGAGGTTCATGGTTCGAATCTGGCAGGTTGCCTTGTTTAATACCGCTGGTGTACTAACCGTAACATACCGTACACACAATCTTCTTCACATCAGACGTTAATGAGCTCGTGACATAATTTGACATGAGTAGGCCATTGTATTCCGGCATCATGGTCAAATTTGGAAAGTTTGAAAATGTACCCACAAATTAAATGTGATTACAGATAATGCCTCCCACTGGCAGACTAATGCCCATTTAACGGCCGGTGCTGAATCATCTTGTGCCGCACAAGGACCAGCTGCCACTGGGGGTGACCTTTGAAGGTTAGCGATGATGTACGACGTAAGGTGCTTTGAGTTGCTGAGGCATGTAAACATGCGAAGTTTAGATGCGAAGATGACTGCAATATCTGCGCACGTTATTTCTGGGGCACACTGTGTCTCTTAGCCTTTACTGAACCGATGAAAGTAGCCGAGCTGGGCAGCCTGCCACAGGCCGTCAGCGATGCTTGATGAGGCGAGCGCGCACCTGCGAGTATATGTCGCGGAACGGATTCTTCACGGAGAAGAAGTCGAGGTCGATGTCGAGGATTAGGGTGGCACCGTCGCCAGGGCACGCCTTCAGCAGCCTCAAAGCCACAGCGCGCACACCCCCGCGCCACCGGTGCCCCGCGCCATCCGCATCACACGACTCCTGGCCACGGGGGCCGTTCACTGCGGTGGTCACCCCCGGTGAAACAGGCCCTCTCGTTGGCCCTGCTGGGGCCCCCTCGGGCAACAAATGTCGATCTGCGGGTGACGTCTCTTCAGTGGGTGACGGGTCTTTCTCTGCAGTGGATGTTTCAGGCTTTGGTGATCTTCTAAGTTCAACTGGTGATATTTCCTGTGCAGGTGATGTTGCAGGCTCATGTGACGTTTCCTGTTCAGGAAATGTCGGATGGCCAGGTTCTGATTGTCGTCCAGGTGTTGCTTGCTGTTTCTGTGATGTTTTGTCACATGACATTTGCTGCCCAGGTGATGTTAACTGTTTGGATGATGTTGGTTGACCAGGTTTCCTTTCCCGCCTGTATGATGTTTTGTCAGTTGATGCCTGCTGACCAGGTGATGTTCTATCAGCTGATGGTCCTGCCTCCACATGTGCCCCACTCGCCTCCTCTCGCCGTGAGCGAGGCTCCGGATAATTGACGGATGATGCGGCCTGACCTTGCGCCACCCCAGGCTCCACGAGCGCCGCCTTGGGGGGTGCGGCTGACTCTGTCTCCTCCAGCTCAAGTCGCCGCTTCCTGCCAGCCGGGACATCGGTGCTGGTGCCAGCATCGTCGGCATTCAGCGGGAGGGTGACCACCTCCAGCGCCACCGGCTTAGCGTCCTCCAGCTGGCCCTCCGGCAGGTAGAGAGCGTCGCTCAGGAAGTAGCTCTCAGTGCTACTCACCCTGCCGGAACACGATTTATGCAATTCGTACGCAAATGCGATGCTGTTACATTTAGGCTACAAACTAAACAAACATATTGAAGTCTTCAATCACATAATGACGGCTGATGGAATTAGTTGGGCCACATGAATAATTGGCAATGGGCCCTGGCCCCCTGACACGACCATGAGACTCATTGCGTCCTAGTTACTTTGTCCCCTGGGCTTGTGCTCATTGCTCACTGCTCTTCCGTGCGCCCCCCCCTACCTTCCTCCACTCCCATTTAACCTTATTCACTAATGCAGTCCATTCATGCAAAGTGTTTTAAGATACAGTTACATGCGGAGACTGTATACATTGCAACGACTGCTGTTGAGTATTTTGTGCTTAATAATCATATATATAGTGCTGTAATTCTAAAGATTCTAAGGCACTTTAGAGAAGAGGTGGAGACAGCCAGGAGATGTTGAAAAAGAAAATATTAAGGAAAATAAGTTCGAGGTCACCCTAATCTTTATGGAATCATGTGAAAAACTGGAAACAGTGAAACACAAATTCCTGCACCATGAGAACTGGAATAAATCTGCCAGAGGCATCACGAAAGGTTTTTAATGACCTCCAGATGCTGACGAGAACAAACACGTGACGCCACTACGAGAGGCCTTGCCTGATGGTGCCGTTGTCCGGGTCCCTCCCGACGCAGAAGTTGTGTCGGCCTTCACGCATCGTGCGAGCCCAGGGCGGCCTCACCCACACAACGCGCGCCACATGGCCCGCAAACACCGCAGGCAGCACCCAGTTCTCGATGCTCAGCTCGCTGTGCCAGGGGGAACGTGCGGGAGGATGGCGTAGCGATCGGCATTAATGTTGTAAATAAAATTAGCGACGAAAGATCTACTGAACAAAGTTTTATATTTTGTACTCGTCAACAATGGAAGAAAATCATAAACTCGGACTGGTTGCCACTAAAGAACTAAGAGTGACTATGATGAGGCTAAAATAACGAGTGCACCTAGGAAGACCACTCATGATTATTTTTACATTTGTATATAAAAAGTTGTACTAGCCATCTCACCGAGCCAAAATAAAGAGCCACTAGTACAAGCCCTTTTCTATGTGTTACTTGAGACCTAGGACACATTTGCAAACGAGATGTTCCGTCTGCAAGTAAATTTTTTTTTGTTATAGAAAAATTAAACATCTCCCCACTGACCCGCACCCTACTCCTGGCCCACAATCCGGCAGTGCCAGGCACATCGTAGCTTTTACATTTACTATTCAGCGGCAGTGTCCGAAGCCTCGCACCTGAACAGTGTGTGGGGGTCATGGACGGTGCGTGCAGGGAGGGACACGGGCAGCAGCAGGTCGGGGTGCGCGTCCACATGCAGCAGGGTGAGGCCCTCCATAGGCAGGTGCCGGGAGCCCATGGCCCGGTATATGTGAGGCAGGACCTGAGCACAGGACACGAGGAGACGCGAGGAGACGCATATTAGACACAAGAGGGACACGGGCCATCAGCGCATGAGCAGAGGAACATGTCCTGATTCCCATCATCAGGCCCGTCGCCATGTCCAATGATCCTGCAATGTTGGGTGTTGATGTGGCATAGCGGGGGTTCAAGGTTCAAATCCAGCAGCCGCCCTGGTTACCGTGGGTGTAATTATAATATCACGATATTATGCGCCGTCTTCATGAGTGGACTTTAAAATCCCCGTCATTCGCACGAGTAGGCCATTGTGTAACTCACGTCAGGGACATTATAAACTGAAACCGCAAATGACTCAATGGGTATCACACACACAGCGCACCGTGCTGGCGGACTAGTGCCCCAGGTCACTCTTGCTCATGAGACTCTCCTACATGATGAAAAGTAAGAACAGGTTTTACCCTTTCTGGCAATAATACAGGTGTTAACATGTTCAAACATCAAATAGATATATATTATTTGGGTCTTTCACCGTTAGCTGTATGAGTAAATGGCGGCTTGCCATCCTTTTCCACCTCCATGTGGCGATAGCTCTTTCCGAGCTCTCTCCGAGCTTACATTTACAAGGAAATTTCTTACCTTGACATGCTAATCTCTTACCTTGACATGCTACTCTCTCTTACCTTGACATGCTACTCTCTCTTACCTTGACATGCTACTCTCTCTTACCTTGACATGCTACTCTCTCTTACCTTGACATGATAATCTCTCTTACCTTGACATGCTACTCTCTCTTACCTTGACATGCTACTCTCTCTTACCTTGACATGATAATCTCTCTTACCTTGACATGCTACTCTCTTACCTTGACATGCTACTCTCTCTTACCTTGACATGCTACTCTCTCTTACCTTGACATGCTACTCTCTCTTACCTTGACATGCTACTCTCTCTTACCTTGACATGATAATCTCTCTCTTACCTTGACATAATCTCTCACAATACAATGGCCACCACCACAGCTTCGTTTGTCAAGATTTCTCCGATCTTACATTTACATGCAAATTTCATCTTCAGCCCCTCCCACTGACCCTTGGGCTACACCCATCCCAAACCTTTATAACTCCTTACCTTAGGGGCCGTCTATAAATGACGTCACGCGATTTTGGACCATTTTTGACCCCCCCTCGTCACACGACGTCACAAAAAGTCAAACCCCCCCCCCTCAAATATGACGTCGTAAAGCTCTGCCCCCCCCCCCAAACCATATTTCTATTTTGAAAATAAAACATGCTTCAAATCGCTTTAAACTATTGTCATTGTAGTGCGTATTTAATGTGGCGCTGCACTCTGATGTTGTAGGAGAAAACATTTATTAAAAAGTCCATTTAATTAAGCAGAACGTGTTGTCTATATGTATTTAAAGTTGCGCATTTTGATGTGACGTCAAATTTCTCAACCCACCCCCCCTCGTCACAAATGTCTGACCCCCCCCCCCACCAGGTGCGTGACGTCATTTATGGCCGGCCCCTTAGCAGCTCTCCCGCGATAGTTCTCACCTGATGACGATTGCTTGTGTTGCGATCGAAACGTCGTGATATTATTTTTAATTATTTGATCTCCGTGGCTTTACCGAAACACCCAAATAATATGAATTCCTGCAGTCACGAAAGCTTTAAGTCAAGATCGAATAGATACCTTCGGCAAGTAATCAAGTATGCATTAACCACACATACTTGTGGCAAATTATAGATACTGGCAAAAAGATCCCGTAGATATAACCGCTCGACTCGAGCTATTAGTGTTCTGATAATTGCATTGCCTCTGTACCGTTCGCCTTTTGGTGGTCTCTGGTCTAACACTGGCGAGACAAACCCATAAAGAAGGCTGTCTCTGGTGTAGGCCAATCAGTGTCAAAGACAATGCAAGTATATTATCTGAGCATGTTTTGCCACAAGTATGGTTAACGCAGACTTGATGCCTTGCAAAATGTTTATATTTGGTGTTTAAACATCTTAACACCTGTTTTATTGCCAGAAAGGGTAAAATCTATTCTTGTTTTTTTTTTATATATATAATTTTGGATACTGGCAAAAATGTCCCCATGGAGAGACTCTCCCCGTCCCAGAATAATCACCCGGTGAAACAAAATCAACTTAAAACCTGAACAATCCCATACCTGTCAACCCCTCATCAGTGCCTACCTTGATAATTGTTTTTTTACCCTTTTATCTGGCAACAAAACTGACACCTTTTTTTACAAGGAGTCATGTTTACATTGACCACAATACTTGCGCTCGGAACGCAAACAAAAAAACAACAACTCTGATAATGTATGTGGCACTGTCCTTGAAATTGATTGGTCCACACCCGAGACAGCTTTCTTTAGAGCCTCGTCTCACATCGTGTTGGACCAGAAGACGCCAAAAGGCGCACAACTCAAAGACAATGCACCATCAGAGTATGAGAGCTCGGGGTAAGCATTTACACGATTGGAAACCTCATTTGCCAGTAACAAAATATGATAATTGTTTTTTTACCCTTTTATCTGGCAACAAAACTGACACCAATTATCATATTTTGTTACTGGCAAATGAGGTTTCCAAGAGTGCCTACCTTCTTAGACCAACTCAGACCTTACTGGTCACCCCGCGCCCTTATAAATCTCAACGTTCATCCCACAAAGTCCCATCGCAAGGGAGAAACACAGAATTGTGTTTGCCCTCATCGAAACGGCTGTCCGCCTCCGCATGGGCCTGCAAACTCAAGTCTCCCTGCACAAGAGCACGGGGCAAGCCGCACGGGGGGGTTGACAGCCGTGCAATCTGCCCAGCACCTGGGCACACGCGGTCGGATTTTCACGGCTCCATCTCCCCCCAGGTGGCCGCGCTCCCGAGGGCAACACGCCGCTCCCGGCTGCGACTCCACCGTGAAATCTTCTCGACCACGAGGGGGGAGGACATCCACCTCAACACCACAATCACCACCAGGCCACCACGCATCGTGAGGTTTTTGAACGCCTCTTTAACTTGTACGATTGAAATGTTTCACCTGGAAAATAAACTCCCTCGAGATGCATACATCCCCACCTGGGAACTAAAGTCCCCGAGTGTGTCGACTCCGCTCGAACGCGTAACGACGTCGCGGGTGCACACGTTTCGAATGTGTGGCTGCCTCTGTTACATCGCCATCACAACCACCAAGTCCGTTCATCACCAGCCATGGTCAATCAACTGCTGGATGATTACCACCAGCTCATTCATCATCATCACCACCACCACCAATCATATCCCCGTAACGAGCAGGCCACAGATCAACCTGCTCCACCTCCTCACATCGTTGTGCTCCTCCACCACCCACACGGGCAGAGCCGCGTACGCCCTCAACCCCGGCCCGGCCATCGCCTCTGTCTGGACGTCAATGGGGACGCCCTGAGTGGGCGGCCATGTTGCGTAGGGAGAGCGGCGGGGGTGGGGGGGTGACCGGAGTGAAGATGTCTGCCGACAATCCCAATGGAATTGCAAGGGGTCGTGCGCCCTTAACGAGAGTCCCCCCCCCGTCCTTGTAACCTCGGGGAGCCAAGTTCCCGCCCCATTGGACGCGCGTCGTCACCGGAGCTCGCGCAATGGTTGTTGCTCCCTCGCCAAAGATGGCTTCTCGTTTCCCGAACCAAAATGGCCGCGCGCTCCCTGACCAAGATGGCTTCTCTGTACCGGAACCAATATGGCCGTGCGCTCCCTGACCTCCACGATCCCCCCACCAAAGATGGCTTCTCTTTCTACCCAAACCAAGATGGCCGCGCGCTCCCTGGCCAAGATGGCGCCCCGCGGCGGCGCGGCCTATGAGAAGCGGCGCGTCGCCCGTGGCGGGAGACGTTCGCGCAGTTGGCGCCGAAAAACTTCCACCGAAGTCGCAGCGGGAGAAGGAAGGGACGCGGCCCCCTCGCGCGGAGCGAGCACAGATTCCCCGGCATGGACGAGGGATACTTTGGGGGCGCGAGCAGCAGCAGCGGCAGCGCCAACTGGGAGGACCAAGATGAGATGGTAGCGAGGCGCCGGGCCTAACGAGGCCTTGGTCAACAATCGTGGCTTCTACGTTTCTTTATCTGCCGTGCCTCCTGTTTAATTGGCCGTCGTCTATAGTGCCGCGTCTTGTGCCTAGCATCTCTAGGGTTTTGGTCTATTGTATTTCTCAGCGATGTGTTTGTCCGCTCTATCGGTTAGCGCCTCGTCTCTCTCTCTCGTGCCGTGGCTATTGCCGCCGCTATATTCTGCGCGGCTCTATTCGCTTAATCGTCATTGCCCGTGCGTACACACATGTACCGCTCCTCTGTATCTCTCTTATTGCCGCATGTGCCGTTCTTTGTCGCCTGGATGTGCCTGCATGCGGCTCTCGTCCCGCCTCTGTCGCCGTGGGAGTCGCGGAGTCCTCTGCAGCGCAAGGAGCCGCGTTCGTGTGTTCGCCTCAATACCCACTCGTTATTATCCATCACTTCCACCTCAATGTTAGACGTCCACTGCCGTCTATGACTAGGTTAACTAATACGGTGCAATGACGGGCATGCACTCGCCCACAGCGGACTCGATGTAAACGGGGGCTTGCCCGCTCGGGCTGCTTGTTTTTGTCGTCCGCCTCCTCGCAAGACGATTATAAACTTTCACTTTTGGTGGCGTTCGAGATTTTAAGTTTGGGGGGCTGGAGCGCGGTGGTGTCCAGTGGTCGGCGCACTGCGAAGTAATGCTCGTGTATTCGGAAGCCGGGTCCCGTGTTTCTCCGCAATTCATTATGGTTTTTTTGAGCAACGCCTCGCTTCAAGCGTGGTGAAGTTTTGGTGAAAGAATCCCCCACGGCTTGACGCCAAGCCCCGCGGCCTCCATCCAGCAGTAGATTAACGAAGGGCTGGACAAAACTCGTTCCACCACAGTCACGGTCAGCTTCAGAACTGGGGGGCTCAAGACAAGTGTTCGGGTCGGGGAAATAACCTCGGGGAAATACAAATGCATTGCCCCTGGCTGTCCGCAGTGTTGTCGACTCCTCCAAAGCAGAAGAACGTCTTTGCAGACCTTCCGAAACACGGCCAACATTACATGCCAGCAGTGTCAGATGATCCTCGTAGCAAAAGTAGCTACATGTGTAGTAGCAAAAGTAGCTACATGTGTAGTAGCTACGGGCCCCGCGCTAAATGTTTTCAAGCTATCAATTCCGGTTCAATTTCGATTTAAAGCTTTCGTGACTGCAATGATTCATCTTCTTTGGTTCTTTCGGTAAAGTCACGTAGAATGAGAATAAAATAATAAATTGATCAAATAAAATAATAATATTCTCACGACGTTTCGGCCACAACACAAGCGGCCTGGTAGGACAGCGCTGGAGTGAAAAAGCCACGTTCAGAGGCTTAAAGGTCGTGATCTGAACGTGGCTTTTTCACTCCAGCGCTGTCCTACCAGACAGTCTCGTCCCTTCACCTGATGAAGGCCGCTTGTGTTGTGGCCGAAACGTCGTGAGAATGTTATTGTGTTATTTTATTTTATCAATTTATTATTTTATTCTCATTCTACGTGACTTTACCGAAAGAACCAAAGAAGATGAATTCCGGTTCAGTTATTCTGCACTTGCTCTATTACTATAGTACTGTACTGCCTTCAACTTTTATGAACGAGTGGGTGTCTAAGCTTAGCGATTTGGCGTATTATCTGGCTGTATAGCAAATGAAAAAAATACAATTACTTGACTATGCATTTTAATATTTGTTTTTTTTTAGGGCCGCTTTATTACATGCTACAGGCCCCGCACTAGCTTAATCCGGCACTGCATATCAGCAACAATGTCACTCGACAATTAGCAAGCACACGTTTTACTCGAGAGAACTCAAGAGACCGGGATAGTCTCGTTAGCAAGAGTGACCTGGGGCATTAGTCTGTCAGTAGGGGGGGGGATGATTGCTATGGATAATTCCGGATAATGTTTAGCTTTGGCAAATTTTGACTTCTTAAATTAAATCAGGGGATCCTTTAAAGTTCACTGTGAAGCACACGATATATATTACTACTGTGGGTATTATTATACTCGAAGTAGTAATAGCCAGGGCAGCTGCAGGATTCGTACCGTGAAACTCTGCAAAAAGCAGCGAATGCCCTTCCGCTAGGTCGCCATCGCACTGTGCACACCTGGGATCACATCAAAACACAATATACAAAGTAGTAAACCAATACAGAGTCTTGATTTAAAGCTTTCGTGACTGCAGTAATTCATATTCTTAGTTTTTTCGGTAAAGTCACGTTGAAGGGAAACAACAAAATAATAAAATATATATAAAACAATAAAAAAAATTCTCACGACGTTTCGACCATAACTCAAACGGTCGTCTTCAGGTGTGTTGGTTTGCATAAATTTATTTTTAAACGGCGCATTTATTTATTTATAAAAAAAACGTTAGCGCAACGATTTGGCAGTTTATTTAGGACTAGTCCATCTATATTCTGAAAAGAGGAGGGGGGAGACGAAATGTTTTATAATGTATGCTGTCTGAAAGCCACTGTAAGCGTGAACAATCAATTAAGACCTGAAATGGTTTATCAAATCTTTCCAATGATTGCTAAGATAGAATCCATCTTCTCGGTTGAAATTGTCTCTGTGCTTGTATATGTGGATAGCCTCATGAACGAATCTCTCATGGAAGCCAGATGGCTTACAAAGAACCTCTGTCTTGGAAAAGTCAATGGCATGTGAGCCTACTGAATTATAACAATGATCTGCCACGGCCGAGGTGTTGGTCCTACCGTGTTTAAGGTCTGCTTTGTGTTCACGAATGCGGTCCGAGACATGGCGTTTGGTTTCTCCAATGTAACTACTACCACAGAGGCAACTTAGTTTGTAGACACCAGGGTATTGTATGTCCGGAATCACATCTTTTACAGATGGAACCAGATCACGGATTTTATGTAATGTGTTGAAACGGACCTGGATCTTGTGTTTATCACTCAAACCATGAAGAAGAACCCTCTTGAGGAGCTTTTCAAAACCATCACTTTACCCTACATTGCGGGGATCACAAAAAAGATCTCCAAAATCTTGAATAAACACAAGGTCCAGGTCCGTTTCAACACATTACATAAAATCCGTGATCTGGTTCCGTCTGTAAAAGATGTGATTCCGGACATACAATACCCTGGTGTCTACAAACTAAGTTGCCTCTGTGGTAGTAGTTACATTGGAGAAACCAAACGCCATGTCTCGGACCGCATTCGTGAACACAAAGCAGACCTTAAACACGGTAGGACCAACACCTCGGCCGTGGCAGATCATTGTTCTAATTCAGTAGGCTCACATGCCATTGACTTTTCCAAGACAGAGGTTCTTTGTAAGCCATCTGGCTTCCATGAGAGATTCGTTCATGAGGCTATCCACATATACAAGCACAGAGACAATTTCAACCGAGAAGATGGATTCTATCTTAGCAATCATTGGAAAGATTTGATAAACCATTTCAGGTCTTAATTGATTGTTCACGCTTACAGTGGCTTTCAGACAGCATACATTATAAAAAATTTCGTCTCCCCCCCTCCTCTTTTCAGAATATAGATGGACTAGTCCTAAATAAACTGCCAAATCGTTGCGCGTGGCGCTAACGTTTTTTTATAAATAAATAAATGCGCCGTTTAAAAATAAATGTATGCAAACCAACACACCTGAAGACGACCGTTTGAGTTATGGTCGAAACGTCGTGAGAATTTTTTATTGTTTTATATATATTTTATTATTTTGTTGTTTCCCTTCAACGTGACTTTACCGAAAAAACTAAGAATATCAATACAGAGTCCTCAATGCAGACTTAGAACCACTCTAAAATCTGCATCATGTCCTGCAGTGGAAATTGCTGTTATGTGTCACAGTTGCTTTGACAGCATTTTGTCGCTAGGCAAATCCAAAAAGTAAAAGAAATCTCACGATAAAGTCGCTGATTTGTCAACCCTGGGGTGCGTCCATGTACAGCAACAGGAGGAGTACGCGGAGGACGATGAGGAGACGCAGAGGGAGTGCTTGATGAGGTTTGCAAGCCGGGACTTCATCATGGAGCCCATCATCTTCACGACGCTCAAGCGGTGAGGCCTCATCGCATGTTCCACATTGTGGGAATCCAGCGATCCAGACCCCCACCATCACCCAGATTTACACCACCATCACCCAGATTCATACCACCATCACCCAGATTAACACCACCACTGTCACCCAGATTCACACCACCACCGTCACCCAGATTCACACCCACCGTCACCCAGATTCACACCCACCGTCACCCAGATTCACACCCACCGTCACCCAGATTCACACCCACCGTCACCCAGATTCACACCCACCGTCACCCAGATTCACACCACCATTACCTAGACTCACACTACCACCATCACCCCGATTTAATGAGTTGTCACGATTCATGACCACAATTTTAGAATAAATTCGTTTGTCCCATCTGTATTGTCTGTCTTCTATATTGTCTTAGCCTGTTGAGTCTTGTTGATTATGTTGGTCTAAAAGTGCATTAGCATGTCATCCTGCAGGAGATTGATAAAGGGCTGTAAGACAATAATTATTACAAAGTCCATTCACTGATAGATGAAGGCCTCCTTGTGACATGTCATTCATGGGGGTTGTTTGAACATACTTCACCACGATGGTCAATGTGGGATAAGGGAAGGGGTGTCAAAGGTTGAATCGATATCACTCCTCACCAGTGCTCCAGATACGATTTGGGCTTTTGAGAATTTTGACACAATTTGAGTAAAGCACATGGAAAGCAACCTCATCCTGTCCAACTTGCTAAGCCACAATCACCTGCCAAGCCTCCCGATCTGTCTACCCTGTGGAGCTGAGTAGAGTTGAGCCTGGATTGAGCTTTCATGGGTGACCACCAAGCACAAGAATGGGTGTTGCAGGCCTTGTGATTAGTGCAGCAAAATCCTTTGATGTGTGGCACTTCCCCCTACCGTCACCAACCTGCACGGGCCAGTATGGTGAAATATGGTCAAATAACCCTCTGGCTGCAAGACATGGGGAGGCCCTCAGGCAGCTGTGGATTGACAAACGGGCAGCGCGTGTGCACAACGCAGAATTGCCGCGTTAGGCAGAGGCGACACCTGGGTTGCTTGTCATTGCTGGCGGCAGGTATTTCCAAGCAGGCGGCTCCCCGGAGAACGTCATCCAGCTGCTGTCGGAGAACTACACGGCAGTGGCACAGACGGTCAACCTCCTGGCGGAGTGGCTCATGCAAACAGGTAGCCACCACTGGGTCACGCAATCCAGAGCGCCCTTGGCTACCGCCGTGCACTGCCGTCACTCCACCCAGCCTCACCAACGCTAACCACCACAACCCAGCCTCGTCCTCTCTCGAGTACTGATGAAGTAAAACAGTTTTAATTTAGAGAAGACCTCTGGATTATTTATTTGATGTGTGGCCTTTGCCATAAAACCTTGCAGGAGTGGAACCCGGTCAAGTGCAGGAGATGGTGGAGAACCACCTGAAGACGATCCTCATCAAGCACTTTGACCCACGGAAGGCCGACTCGATCTTCACAGAAGAGGGAGAGGTAGGTGCACTGCAATTCCGTGTTTAACGCAGGAAAACCGCACTGACCTTTCAGCACGATATTCACGCTGCTGTCAGTGCAGCGTGTTAAATGTTAGGTGTGTAATGCATCGTTTTTATAACAGTTTCAGGACTAGACTTGTATGTGATGCCTTTTACCAAAGTGGCTGCTGCTCTTTGTTTTGTGTGGCTGTGGGTGTTGTCTGTTGTCAGACACCGGCCTGGCTGGAGCAGATGATTGCTCACGCCACTTGGAGAGACCTCTTCTACAAGCTCGCCGAGAGCCACCCCGACTGCCTCATGCTGAACTTCACCGTCAAGGTGCCGGCCTGGCTGCCCAGCCACACAGACAACCACACATCCATCCACCCACCCACCCACCCCAGCCACACACCCACACACAGCTACTTCACACTCCGCTTCCCCGGAAGAGATATGGCCTTGTGTTGAGCAGCAGCGGTTGTGTGGCCAGGTGCTGTTTGTAATTATGGTGATCGATGGTTCTGAGGGTAGACAGTAAAATGTATGCAGTGCAATACAGTTTATGTGTGTGGTATGTGTGGTGTGTGAGCAGCTGATATCCGACGCGGGACACCAGGGCGAGATCACAAGCGTGTCGACAGCCTGCCAGCAGCTCGAAGTGTTCTCCCGCGTTCTGCGCACATCCTTGGCCACGCTGCTGGATGGAGGAGAGGACAGCTTGGACAAACACCTGCCCGAGTTTGCTGTAAATTCCTCCCCTCTGTGTGCATGCGTGCGGTAGTGCAACGGTTGGCGTGATGCACTACGAACCAGACGACCCGGGTTCGATTCCTGCTCACGGCCAACACCAGTGACGATTATCTGAACCGGTGTTGGGCCTCCCCTAGGTCGACTCGGCTTCAAATTATTACCTGGTGTGTTGTGTAAGCATCACCACTGGGGAGATAAATGCAGTCGAGCTTCGTGTACCGTTCCGGTCTTCATAGGTGCTCGCTAACAGCCCTTGCCCCAAGAGTCTATTAAAGTTCTTACGGGGGATCTTTGTTTGTGCATGAACGCACACGTAATACGTGTGCGCGTGTCCCGACAGAAAATGGTGTGCCACGGGGAGCACACGTACCTGTATGCGCAGTGCATCATGAGCGTGCTGTCGCGCGAGGAGCAGGGCGGCTCGGCGGTGCGTCGGATCGCACAGGAGGTGCAGAAGTACGCCCAGGACCGGTGAGCAGGGCCGCGGTGGTGGCACGAACGGCGCAGCTCGACAGAGACACCGTTGGGTTTCCGGGGCGTTCTCGCTCTTGGCAGGCGTTAGCGATCTGGATGGATAACTCTGCCGAGACTCCGTCAGTTGCCGAGTTGACGAGTGGCGCCGGAGGTGGCCGAGTGGATCGGAGGTCAGATCGGTGGAGATGGCATGGCTGAGATGCCAGGTTTGAACTCAGGTTCTCAACCCCCTGTGATTAAACTGGGTTCACAGTTACATTGTGATTGTAACTATTTACAAATGACACAGTTATAGCTGAAATTGACCCCAAGTCTGGCTGCTGTTCTTCTGATTTCATGAAGGTAAGCAACTAGTGTTGACTCTTGATTTAAAGCTTTCGTGACTGCAGTAATTCATATTCTTAGTTCTTTCGGTAAAGTCACGTTGAAGGGAAACAATAAAATAATAAAATATATATAAAACAATAAAAATTCTCACAACGTTTCGACCATAACACAAACGGTCGTCATCAGGTGTGTCGGTTTGCATTCATTTATTTATTTTTAAACGGTGTATTTATTTATTTATAAAAACGTCAGCGCCACGCGCAGCGATTTGGCAGTTTATTTAGAAGGACGAGTCATCTATGTTCTGAAAAAAGGAGGGGGGAGACGAAAAATTAATGTATGCTGTCTGAAAGCCACCGTAAGCGTGAACAATCAATTAAGACCTGAAATGGTTTATCAAATCCTTCCAATGACTGCTAAGCCAGAATCCATCTTCTCGGTTGAAATTGTCTCTGTGCTTGTATATGTGGATAGCCTCATGAACGAATCTCTCATGGTAGCCAGATGGCTTACAAAGAACCTCTGTCTTGGAAAAGTCAATGTTATGTGAGCCTACTGAATTATAACAATGATCTGCCACGGTCGAGGTGTTGGTCCTACCGTGTTTAAGGTCTGCTTTGTGTTCACAAAATGTGGCGCTGACGTTTTTTATAAATAAATAAATACACCGTTTAAAAATAAATAAATTCATGCAAACCGCCACTTCTTTCAAATGTTTCTTGCCGTTGTTTTTTTCACACCTGATGACGACCGTTTGTGTTATGGTCGAAACGTCGTGAGAATTTTAATTGCTTATATATTTTATTATTTTATTGTTTCCCTTCAACGTGACTTTACCGAAAGAGCTAAGAATATAGTGTTGACTCACTAAAAACAGTTCAACAGCCAGACCTGGAGTCAATCACAATTGTAATTTGTAATGAAATACAAAGTGTAATTGCGACAATAATCTCGCCTAACAAAGCTGCTATAAATGTATTGGACTTCCTGGCCTGGAGAGTTCCGATTGGATTCTTCTTGCCATGACTGCGTGATGCGGGGTCACAATCGGAGGGTGAAAAGCCAGTCGATGGTATTGCTGGTTGTGTGGTGGACGCTCACCAGGGGTCACGACGTGAGCCAGATCACGCTGGCGCTGGGCAGTGCGGCGTCGTACCCGCGTGCATGCCAGGCGCTGGGAGCCATGCTCTCCAAAGGCGCTCTCAACCCGGCCGACATCACCGTCCTCTACAAGATGTTCACCAGCTTGGACCCGCCTCCTGTCGAGCTGGTACCACTTGCATGAACGACAAAGATCCCCCATATTGCCTGTAACAGACTGTGGGGGCAAGTGCCGTTAGCGAGCACCCATTAAGGCCAGCACCACGACGGGTGGCCAGCACCACGACGGGCCGCTTGTCTCCCTAGTAGTGATGTTCACTCATCGGACCAGGTACTCATTTGAGGCTGAATCAACCTCGAGGAGAACCAGGACTGGTTCATATAATCATTGGTGTTGTCCGTGAGCTGGAATCGAGCTCAGGTCGTCGGGTTTTGTAGCGCAGCGCACCCCAAGCGCGACACTACTTGTCCCTACACGCACAACAAATACATTCACACGTACACATACACACACTTCCCCATATTTACACATGCACACACACAGACACGAGCACATACCTTTTATAGGTTTTGCCACCACCCAGTAATTTCTGTGGGCTATTATGGAAGCTGAGAGGCACCTTAAAAATAGGGACATGAGGCAATCTATAATAATTGTGTATCATTTTCATAGCCCACGTTGTGAATCAAGGATCTGGATGGACTCTCTCGCATGGTTCTGGGCATCAAAGGCAATTGAGTGCAGTCATCAGAGACTGGTGGTGGGTGGAGAGCTTTTATCGTCAAACCAAATTTATTATTTTATTTCCCACCTCTTATTCCAATTGTGCTCTCGGTATCGTCTTGCGGTGAGACGTTTGTCTGTTGGGAACTCTCGCAGAGCGCCGCGTCGCACCCCATGTTGGAGAAACGGTCCTTAGGACGGGATATCGTAGAACTTAGCTCCTGAGATTCTCTCGTGACCTTTTCATTCCGCATGCTAGGGGTCAGCATTGCCCCACACTTTTCTGCAGAGAAATTTTGCACGACAGTAAAACTGAGAATTTATTTTACTCTGAGAAGGAATTTTCCAAATTAAGAAAAAACCTAAATTTAATGTGATCACGGATTTTCATGCAGTCATTGGTTATCGAGCTAACACCATCGACTCACCACACTTGAGAACCCAGTTTAATCGCATCTCAGTGTGCGCAAATCCAAGGGTCTCCGTGAGTCTGCGGGTCTCTATGTGAATCATGAATAACGCCTCGGACTCCAGTTGAACGATAGTTGAGCAGCTCAAACTCGGATTAAAACTCAAGCTATCAGCGGAGCCGGTTCAGCGTCTTTGACCCCACTGGGCCACCCAGCGACCGCGTGCCATACGATCTGAGTGGGGGCGAGTGCTCTAGGCGTTGACTGAGCGCGACTTGACCGGTGGGCGTGCAGGTGCGCGTGCCAGCCTTCATGGACCTCTTCATGCAGGCCCTCTTCAAACCAGGGGCCAAAGTGAACCCCGACCACAAGCACAAGTACATCTATATCCTCGCGTATGCCGCCAGTGTCATCGAGAGCTGGAAAAAGGTCGGCGTCGCCCGCACCACACACACGCACAGACACGCTACTCACTGGGCATGTGACTAGGATTGCCCTTAATTACATTTCTACATGGTACAATGTCAAATTATCACAATATAAGATTCCCAAAACATTGTAATTGTATTTAGAATGTTTTATGATGTTGGTGGGGTTGGGTGCTGGTGGGAGTGGCGTATACGGATAGTGTGGAGTACTGCCGACGGTCGTATTGAAATGTGTTGTGCAGGAGGTGGTGGTGTTGGTATTGGGGTACGGTGGTCGTGGTGTATACTGAGTGCGTTGCTGGTGGTGGTGGTAATACTGCGCGCGCTGTGCCGACGTCGATGCGCACGCTGCAGAACAAGCGCGTGAACATAAACAAGGACGAGCTGAAGTCGACCTCCAAGGCCATCGAGACGATGCACACGCTCTGCTGCAACGAGAACAAGGGCGCCTCGGAGCTAGTGGCCGAGTTGGCCACCCTGTACCAGTGCATACGGTGAGACGCCGTGCGTTTGCCTTCACTGGGCTTGGGAGTAATAATACACGGAGCAAACGGTGGTTTATAGACAGCAGAAGGTACGATTGTCACAATTAGATTGGTCCTCCCATTATGCTTTGCATGTCATGTGCAGTACGGTGTTGTCTAGAAGTCACCTTTTACATGTATTATTAATGCCATTACCTGTTTATAGCCTCCGTACACACTCTCATAAGTTACAGCAGACAAATAACTGGGGTGCGTCAATGTGTGGTGATCTAAGGGTGTGGAGTGGTAGTGTCGTGAATACAATTTATGATCGGTTCATCATTCGGTGCGCACTGCCTCTGCATCGGGCCCCTTGGTCCACGGCGACCCTTGACCCCGCGCGTGACTGCTGTGCGCGTGCGGCGTGCCCCCAGGTTCCCCGTGGTGGCTATGGGCGTGCTGCACTGGGTGGACTGGACAGTGAGCGAGGCCAGCTACTTCAAGCTGCAGACCGACCACACGCCCCTGCACCTGGCCCTGTTGGACGAGGTCGGCCCTCCTTCCGGCCCATGATCCCTTGTGCCGCACGTGCCGGGACAATCTCGATATTCACAAATGCTTCATGGGAGAGACACAAGGACGGCCTTGCTGAAACCACCGTGACGTTTGGTAGCTTTACCCCCAATGCCTTCCACGTGCACCTCCCCTTGCGTCCGTGCGTGCACGCAGATCAGCACGTGCCACCAGCTAATGCACCCGCTGGTGCTGCTGCTGCTGGTGAAGCTGTTTGAGACGGAGCACTCGCAGCTGGACGTCATGGAGCAGGTGAACGCCGCAATGCAGACCGGGCACCCCCCCCAAGTGCACCGCTGGACTTGAACCGTACTTCAAACTCAATGGGGCAGCTCTCTAATGCGCCTTTAGTCTTCTCCTTCCTGGCTTTCTTCCAACTTGTGGGGTCTGCTTTCCTGGTCCCTTTTCTCCATTCCTTTCACGTCCATGTCCAATCCACAGCCTGGCTCACAACTTTGAGCCACCTCTTTCTAGGCTTCATTCTCTGCTCTGGTGCTTCCAAGCTCGTCAAGAGCAAATGTTGCCTTCTTTAAGCCCTTGTGTTAAGCCACCGCCAGACGCGGGCCTCCCCACACCATGTGAATCTTATTTAACCATACCTTGCTGCACTGGCCAGTCGGAGTTGGTCTAGGCATGGAGCATAGATGAGAACAGAGGTACAGTACAATAGATGTTGCACCACTGCTCTTTGCTGCCCTAATCCCCATTGCCTATGACACCTGTCGTGCATGGTTGTAGCTCACTCAGACTATCCAGTTTCAACTCTGCTTAGCTTCAAAGATCTGACAATTGGGCACATTCCACATCAGAGGTGGTTATGCAATAGCCTAGGTTAAGCTCTGCAGTTCCATTGCTTCCATTTTGCAACATAGTTGCATGGTACTGAGCTAGTAAACTCAATCATTGCTCATGTCTGTGTAATAAACGATAGGGCTGGTGGGCCTGAAAGTCTCCTTCCTCAACTTGGCGACCAGTTCCTGGGAGCCCAGCAGATGATCTCGGCGTGGAAAGGTGCCTGCTCGGCCTATGAAAAAAATATACATCGAGGTACTGTAGAGATTATGGTGAAATAATAATGGTGCGTGCCTGTGCGTGCAGCTGGAGCTGAAGAAGACGCTGCTGGACCGCATGGTGCACCTGCTGAGCCGCGGCTACGTGCTGCCCGTCGTGGCCTACATGCGCAAGTGCCTGGAGCGGCAGGACACGGACATCTCGCTCATACGGCACTTCGTCACCGAGGCGAGGCCCACCTTGGCCTCGTGCCAACACCTTCCGGCAATATGGTGTCGAGAGGTCCTCACAGTGACCACAAGTGGCCGAGCACGCTAAAATTAAAAAGTGTTGCTATGTTGACTTCCCTTCTAGTACCCGTTTAGGGTGGCCGAGATGCTTGCAGTGATGGAGAAAGATCGTTTGTGTGCTGGTTTGAAGTGGTGGGCCTCGAGTGGCTGTTCCCTTCCGCCGGTGCGGACGAATGCTGAGTGCGATGACAATCCTCTGTTCCCGTGCCTCCAATCCACCGCGTGCGCTTTTTTCTGAATGGTCGCGCCTTGTGTTGCTCATGTTCGGCGCGTCAATGCATTTTACCGTGTTAATGCGTCGACCGCGGTGTGACTTGTGTTAAAAGCACTGGCCGTGTTAATGCGGAACCCCGCGGGGGCGTGTCGACGCGTCAGGTGTTGGACATGATCGCGCCCCCGTACACAGCCGACTTCGTGCAGCTCTTCCTGCCCATCCTGGAGAGCGACAGCATCGCGGGGACCATCAAACCCGAGGGCGAGAGCGACGCTGTCGCAGAGTTCATAGGTCAGCAGACACCACCGCCACCTCGCGTGGAAGCATTCGGGGTTACGTCCTTTAATTATTGCCGAGTGATCTCACAGACAAAACACCCGTCCGCAAACAATTTGAGAAGGGAAAAAAAGAAAACGCTGGAAGTGCAGCAGCCTTGCAGTCATTTGCTTCACAGCCAGAATTATAAACGATTAACGAGATTGATGGCCGCAATTAGGGGATGGTGGGAGGGGGAAAAGGGGTTTGGGAGAGGTGTGGGGTCGACTGGGGTACATTATACCTTTCCAACAAGAATTGCTGCCAATTATTTTGTTCAGAACAGAAAAATATATAAATATATATTTGAACCCTAACAAAGCTATATATTTTTTGCTGCATTTAAAACCATTGCAATCATGATTTTTTTCTGCTTGCTGTCTTTTTTTTTACGCCAGCCCATTGTAAAGCAAACTTCGTCGGCAACTGAGTGGACTGACGGACGGAGGGCAGTGTGGAAGTGCCGGTCCGTAGCGTTGTCACGGCACCGCGGGCTCTCCCCCCACCCTGCTGGGAATTGCCAAGGACAAGATGCCACCCCAACGCCGTGCAACATCCTTCTCCGCCCTATCAAGATCGCGCGACATTGTCCACTCGCTTAATTCCATTAAAAAATAAATATTAAAAAACGAATTGACAACAGCAGCCTCCACGACGAACCATGGAAAAAAAACGATCACAGCCCCCTCGCGAGCTTTCTGTTCAAGCCTCCCCCGTGAAACTCTCACACGCAGCCGCACCTGCAATGGTTGCGCTGGCGCCAGCGCAGCGTTTTATTGATTTACAGAACGCGATCCCTGTCCCGAGATCGTTAGTGTAGTTATGCTGCCACCCATGTAAAGCGCCCAACGTCACCTGTTTTTGTAAATAAAGCATACTTTCAAGGTATATATTGATCGATAGTTGCTATAGCTTGCTTCATCAGAAATATCTGGTCGAGAAAGAGCAACGCCTCCTTGTTGCAGACCACAATATTTCTGAAGCTTATGTTTTACATGGTGGTGAGCGTGGGTTTTTCAGCGAGTCCCCTTGCCATGAGCAAGCGTGAGCAGGCTCTGGGGGGGGAAGAGGGGGCTACTTTTCCTGGAGGGAGCGCTGCAGCACTTCCTGTAGGGTAGAATCATCATCCGCCTGGTAATCCTGCACACGCACAAAACACGCTCGTCAGAAATCGCATTTTTTTACATTTTTCCGAATTATAAAATTTAAGTTTCTCTGAGTTTTAGAATTTGAGTACTTCAAGTAAGAGTTTGGCCGGCTAGCATCATGGTTCTCAAATCACTACAAGTTAAATAAAATAATGTTTGCTCCAAAACATTCCAAGAAGTTGCAGAACTAGAACTAGTGCATGAAGACAGCCTTGAGGCCCTGTGAGGCTTTCCTGGGTAACAAGGGGGGGCATTGCCCATACCCACTTCCTGTGAGCTGAAGTCTCATTCTTTTGGATTTTTTCCTCCTTTTCCCCCAATCGTGCTATCAGCGTCGGATTCTTGGCAGAGCCGTACAACTCCCGCCCCCCCTTGGTGTTCAGAGTGGCACATGGATGCAGATATCACAGTGACTTTCCAGTTCCCTTCAATACACCTCTGGTCCACAGGCAGCAGAGGGCAGCAATTCCCCACCTGTTCTGTCATGCAATTGTCAACCTGATTATTTTAATTCTCGGAGCTGGAAATTCGCCAAATTTCATGCAGAACCAATACGTTTTTTTGCGTGCAATAATTAGCAATCGGGCTGAGACATCAATTCTTTACGCTTAAGAACCCGGTTTCATAACACTCGATTTATATGAGGCCGAGTCCCTTAGTTGCTGGTGACTGGGCTGAGACCACTAACTCACTACACTTGAGGACCCGGTGTGATCACAGGCGGCTTAAACCTGGATTTAAACTCGGGATCTCGGCAGTCCTCAGGGCTTGGCCGCTCCGCCCTCAGAGCTGCCCAGCTAGCTCTGACCCGGTGAAGTGTAGATCTGTACCGTGGGGGCTGGGAAAGTAAAGCTGTGGCTTTGTCGCAGAGAACGTGCGAGGGTACGCGGAACGCGACTCACCACGTAGGTGTCGTAGGAGAAGCGGTGCCTGTGCGTGAGGTGCTGGATGAAGTTTGAGCTGCAGTAGTTGGGGTCGCCCCATGGCATTGATGCGCACACTGGGCACACCTTGGGTACGCACACCACACATACACCACACACTTGTCACCTTGGCAGAGAGTTATGCCCAGCTGTTTGCCACAAGCCTTTTTAGTGAGGTAGGGACGGTCATGCGTGTGCCACATTGGTGCTTGTGGCGAGGCCTGGCACGTGTGTGTGCTGGTGTATACTGCGTTGGTGAGGCTGGGCGTGTGCGTGAGGTTGGGTGTCTGCGTGCTGCGTTGGGGCGTGTGCGTGTTGGCACGCACCACGCGCGTGCGGTCCGAGTGGTGCCGCTCCATGCAGTGCCGCAGGAGGTCGTCCTGGTCGAGGTTGCGGGTGCCGCAGTACGGGCACATGAACGTGAAACGGTTGGGGCCTAGGCTACAGTCGCACACAGATCCGCCGTGTAGCCATTAACACACCGTGGTGGGGCAAGTGCTATTCGTGAACACCTATGAAGGCCAGCACAGCGACACACAACGGGAAAGTGTTGCCGTCACTATGCCCGGCTGCCTTTGTCTCCCCAATGGCGATATTTACACACCGCACAAGTAACTAATTTGAGGCCGAGTTGACCTAGGGAAGACCCAGAATGAACCTGACCACATCACACGATTAGCAGACAGCAAAGACCCACTCTGTGACCGAGCACGAGTCAAGCAGCATGCCCGGTGCTGAGGTTTATTCATTGCACCTGGTGCTCATTGAAGGGTAAGTCGACCTAGGACTGTTCAGATATCACTCGCCACTGATATTGGCTGTGGCCCAGGCACAGATTGAGGCAGGCAGGTCCCACAGGCAGACACGTACAGTGGTGTGGAAGCAAATGGGACATGCAAATACACACTGGGGGTCAGAGACATGCTTTAAGACGTTCCCACACACGAAAGTAACTTGGCGCTATGCTAAAAGCATATATACATATGGCAGTTCACTGGCACTCCAATTAGCACGGTTGCCTACGTATGGTGCGAAAGAAGCTCAACATACAGAGGTACGTGGACCCAGATTGGCAGAAACACACATACTTGAGAGAAATGCACAGGCTTGCAGATGCACATACACAAAGGCTCCCAGACACACCATCACACAGTATGCAGGCCCCACAACCACATTGAACCATATCCACACAGACAACGCAGGCCCACATTTCCATAGACTCCTCCTTTTGGTTTGCATTTGCCCAGGGTGTGAACAAGATTCTGACGGGTGCGTTCCACAGTTTGAGCTCATCCTTCTAATATACCTCTGAGGGGAGCGGCAGCGTCGGCCGTACCTGGCAGCGGTCGTAGTGGGCGTCTGGAATGCAATCTGCGCCTTCTGGGCTTGTGCACAGGTGGACGTGTGAGCTCGGAAGTCGGACACGCGCACCTGTAGGCGAGATGGACGATAACGTCGATCCAGGTCTGTGGCTCCAAAACCCAGGGGGAGCCACGTAATACTTCATGAGCGGTCGGGAGGATCGGGACTGGTACGCACACAGACGCAAACTTATCACGGGTAACAACGCCTTAAGCTTTCAGACGCAGGTCTCCGAATGGAGGGTTCCGAGGGCACAAGTATGGCCATGCGAGGTGCCAGAGGGCTTTGTACCCTCGAGCGACGAGCACCACTCATTTGGGTTCTCATCTGGAATCGACTCGCCCGTGAGCGCTGCATTCACCCACAGTTGTTTTGCGTGCCGCGGCTTTATTACGAGTTCTGGTTTTGGCCGTGCTTTGAGGAACGTGAGCTGATGCGGTAGTCAGCTGGAAGTGGGGCGTGGGGTGATGGGGCGGGGGCTCAGTTTTGCAAGGTTACGACGGGGGACCGGCCAACGGCGCTCACAGATTTTGGCTCCGGGGCATTGCAGCAAAGATCCGCCTGCCCTCTTTATAATTCAGCTGCTCCGCGTGGCAGCCAAAGTTGAAACGCTCACAGCACCAAACTCCGACTGAATGCAACTTATTTTCAAATCGACACCAAGACTGGGTGCCTGTATTTTACCTCTGCGCCGTGCATCGTGCCTGGCCTCGTCACCCCCACGGGGGCGCGGGTGGTTAGGGGCTGGCGGAGCGGTACCTTTTCCGAGCAGGCCGAGCACGGCGCCAGCATCTCAGCCATGGTGCGTTCCACGGCCTCGTTGCGCCTCGCATCCCTGGCGGCCAGAGGGGAGCGGCAGACGGCGCACTGGGGCTGCTGCGTGGATAGGCAGCGGTGCAGGCACGCCTCGCAAAACCTGCACGCACGGCGGCACCGGCGGGACACGGCCACGGCGCTGTTTACCACCATGGCACGAGCATCACCTGCCACGGCTGGGGCTCCCGATTGCCACCACCTCCCTACTGCCTCGCCTGCCCTGCTGGGTCGGTGGGTGTCCTTGTGGTCGCGTTCTCTGCCACTCAGCCATTATTGTCATCCACTGGCGTGGACTGGACACTCGGGGTGTAATTCAAGTTGTGGCGTAAAGGCAGATTTGGTGGAATAGGTAATTGTGGATATATTTTTCCAATGAAAATTGGTTTAAGCTGCATATCTGCCAAAATTTTAATATCCCCAGAATCCTGCAAACCAGAAAATCCAGAGTGGATCTTTAATCGGGTGGAACGTGAATAGACGAGAGCGCGGCCTCATGGATTATGCCACCGATCATCAAGTCGATATCTTGACGAATCGGATTACACAATACAATTGCAAAAACATTATCACCTCTGTTCCCACGCAGGCTCTGGACGCTGGCAGGTTTCGCGATACCATTGGCATCATCAGCCGCCGTCGTGCTGGGCATGGCTTGTAGGAGGTTTCCCACCTTCAGGAGCCAGGATGTCTGGGTAGCCACTATTTCTAAAGCTCCCCGAGTAATCGACCACCAACAAAGCAGACGATTACAACTTTACGTCCATTGAACTAGGTCGCCAGGTGGCAGAGCAGTTGCATCAAAACTGCTGTGGCAATGTTTTGCGGTTGTGTGGTAGAGCTCTGCGAAGCGTTTCCGGGTTGCACCGCGTGTTGCTCGTGCACCATGTCTGACGTTTCGCTCCAACAGCTGTGAGCTTCTTCAGGAACAGTGCACTACAGCACCAGATGCTATGCAGTTCAGGACCAGGAACAATTTAGTGCAGAAAGCAGCTGTACTAAAGTACACAGCTGTAAAATCCAAACCGACGCCTCTGCCATGCAGATAGGGGGAATTCCACGCTCACACCGTGCCTTTCAAACCAAACTGATCATGGGGAAATCCCCACGGTGATTCGGATCGGTGTACACGAGCGGCGAGCAGACAGGCGAGTGTTGCAATTTCATGTTTTCGTTGTCCTTGTCCTCCCATCTCCAAAGATGACGCTGCCGACAGACAGCGTCAGTGTCATATCTTGTGCATGCGACTCGTAACTGCAGTGATTAAACATTTCCTTCCAACGAAGAGAGTATCACCATTGGCGATGATAAATCCACTGCTGGATGAAGGCCTCTGCAAGCCTGCACCAACCACCATGGGCCTGCGATGCCACGATCCCAATCCCACCAACGCGCACAATCTCGTCGCTCCAACTCTGCAGTGGTAAATCCTCCTGGGCGCGTTTTCCCTCCTTTGATTGCGACTCAGTCGATAGTCTCGAACACTGGCCATCACCATCTCGATGCCAGGGGCGGAGCCAGGATTTTGACTTTGCGGGGGGCTGACTTCAATATTCTGAGATATCCAGTGTATGTTTTCCAATGGGCGCCACAAATGTATACAACAAATTTTATTGGATTTGAACGCGGAGTTCATTAATAGGTCGGAGCCGCTGATGTGGCTAATAAGTTCGATAAGTTCTGAAGGCTGCTGGTCAAACAGCCTGGAGGGCAGCACAAAGTGGCAGCCAGCATTTTGCAGCAGCTGGATATCCGGTTATCCCGATTACCGACTTTCCCAAAATTTCAGGGGGGGCTAAGCCCCCCCAGCGGCTCGCCCCTGCTTGATGCCCTCTGTCATTAGATCACAATAATGTCCCTGGTTGTGACTGTTTTCTAATCCGCAAGTTCCTCTTTCTGTTCCGATTGTTTAGTTCCTCTTTCTGTCTACAGTACAATTTATTCCCAACATGCTGCACGATCATTACCAGACTCCATACGACTGGTGGGGGGGGGGGTACTGCTTTGTGATTACAATCATCTCATCATCATAAATTTGATTTGTGGCATTGCATACGCAGATGATGAACCACTGCCACAAAATTACACCCCACGCGCTAAGATTCTGGAAAGCACCTTTAGTCAAGGCGTGCCCCACAACACACACACACAGATATAGACTGTTATAGACTGTGTGTTACCTACACACACAGGCGTGTGTTATCTACACACGCCTGTCTGTGTGTTAACTACACACGCCTGTCTGTGTGTTAACTACACACGCCTGTCTGTGTGTTAACTACACACGCCTGTGTGTGTTACCTACACACACACCTGTGTGTGAACTACACACGCTTGTGTGTGTTAAATACACACGCCTGTGTGTGTTAACTACACACGCCTGTGTGTGTTAACTACACACGCCTGTGTGTGTGAACTACGAACGACAGCACTGCACGTACACCTGCGTTAAGTCACCACTGTTTAAACTACACATCCACACACCCGGTGTGATTTCAAACCCACACCTGCATCTACTACAGGGACACACTTACACAAACACCTGTGTGAACTATACACACACCCCCCGTGAACTGCACACACACACACACCGTGAACTGCACACACACACCGTGAACTGCACACACACACCCCGTGAACTACACACACACACCCCGTGAACTGCACACACACCCCGTGAACTGCACACACACACCCCGTGAACTACACACACACCCCGTGAACTGTACACACCGTGAACTGCACACACACACCCCGTGAACTGCACACACACACACACCCCGTGAACTGCACACACACACACCCCGTGAACTGCACACACCCCGTGAACTGCACACACACACCCGTGAACTGCACACACATACACACCCCGTGAACTACACACACATACACACCCCGTGAACTACACACACACCCCGTGAACTGCACACACACACACCCCGTGAACTGCACACACACACCGTGAACTGCACACACACACACACCCCGTGAACTGCACACACACACCCCGTGAACTGCACACACACACACACCCCGTGAACTGCACACACACACCCCGTGAACTACACACACACCCCGTGAACTGCACACACACACACACCCCGTGAACTGCACACACACACACACCCCGTGAACTGCACACACACCGTGAACTGCACACACCCCGTGAACTGCACACACACACCCGTGAACTGCACACACACACCCGTGAACTGCACACACCCCGTGAACTGCACACACACACACCCCGTGAACTACACACACCCCGTGAACTACACACACCCCCCGTGAACTACACAGACACCCCATGAACTACACAGACACCCCGTGAACTACACAGACACCCCGTGAACTGCACACACACCGTGAACTGCACACACACCCCGTGAACTGCACACACATACACACCCCGTGAACTGCACACACACACACCCCGTGAACTGCACACACACACCCCGTGAACTGCACACACACCGTGAACTGCACACACACCGTGAACTGCACACACACCCCGTGAACTGCACACACACACACCCCGTGAACTGCACACACACACACCCCGTGAACTGCACACACACACACCCCGTGAACTGCACACACACACACACACCCCGTGAACTGCACACACACACACCCCGTGAACTGCACACACACACACCCCGTGAACTGCACACACACACACCCCGTGAACTGCACACACACACACCCCGTGAACTGCACACACACACCGTGAACTACACACACACACACACCGTGAACTACACACACACCCCCCGTGAACTACACACACACCCCGTGAACTACACACACCCCGTGAACTGCACACACACACACCGTGAACTGCACACACACCCCGTGAACTGCACGGCACTAACCGCGCTGTCAATCACGAGTCTCGCACTGGGTCCATCTCACCGCCACTCGAACCTCCTCACCCTCACCGCCACTCGAACCTCCCTCACCGCCACTCGAACCTCCCTCACCCTCCCTCACCGCTACTCGAACATCCCTCACCCTCACCGCCATTCAAACCTCCCTCACCCTCCCTCACCGCCACTCGAACTTCCCTCACCCTCCCTCACCGCCACTCGAACCTCCCTCACCGCCACTCGAACCTCCCTGACCCTCCCTCACCGCCACTCGAACCTCCCTGACCCTCCCTCACCGCCACTCGAACCTCCCTCACCCTCCCTCACCACCACTCGCCACCCAGGGGAGGGGGCATAGCGACTCTCCCGGGGTTCGAGTCCCGACCCAGGCGCTGTGGTGCACGCGTCTGAGGCGATTCAATTAGTTGCGTGAGGGGGGATCTCAGACACAAGGACACCCACCACCAAAGCCACCCACCACCACCAACAACAACAACACCACCAACAACAACACCACCAACAACACCACCACCAACAACACCAACAACACCATCACCAACAACACCACCACCAACCACCACCAACACCACCACCAACCACCACCAACACCACCACCAACAACACCACCAACAACACCACCACCAACCAACAACACCACCACCAACCACCACCAACACCACCAACACCACCACCAACAACACCACCAATCACCAACAACAACACCACCAATCACCAACAACAACACCACCACCAACAACAACACCACCACCATCACCAACACCACCACCAACAGCACCACCAACACCACCAATCACCAACAACACCACCACCAACACCACCACCAACAACACCACCACCAACAACACCACCAACAACACAACCACCAACACCAGCACCAACACCACCAATCACCAACAGCACCACCAACAGCACCACCAACAGCACCACCAACACCACCACCAACACCACCAATCACCAACAACACCACCAACACCACCACCAACAGCACCACCACCACCAACACCACCAATCACCACCAACACCACCACCAACACCAACAACACAACCACCACCACCAACACCACCAATCACCAACACCACCACCAACACCACCAATCACCAAGAACACCACCACCAACACCACCACCAACAACACCACCACCAACAACACAACCACCACCACCAACACCACCACCAACACCACCAATCACCAACAACACCACCACCAACAGCACCACCACCACCAACACCACCAATCACCAACAACACAACCACCAACACCAACAACACAACCACCACCACCAACCCCGCAAGCTCTGACCCGGTTCCAACTTCCGCGCCCTGGTCCCGGCTTTCGCGGTGGGCGGCTGCTGAATAGGGGGGGGGGGGTGGGGGAGATGTGTAGGGGACTTGGCGGGGAGGTCGCCGCCACACTCACGTGTGTCCGCAGCCCGTGTCCCACGGCGCCGTGAACACCTCGAGGCAGATGGGGCAGATGAAGGCGCCCAGCGAGTCGCGCGGCCCCGCGGCCGCCACGGGAGAGAAGGCCATGATGACGATGCCGCCACTGACGACATCACGGGGGGCGGGGTCAGAAGGAGGAGCCGAGGGAGGGGGAGGAGCTGAGGGCGGGGAGGAGCCGAGGAGGGGGAGGAGCCGAGGAGGGGGAGGGGCCGGGGGAGGAGCCGAGGAGGGGGAGGGGCCGGGGGAGTAGCAGGAGGGCGCCTCTAGTGGCAGGAAATAAAAACTACACCCGTCGGCAGCGTCACAATCATCACCAGTCGTATCAACCGTGTTGTGATAACCTTGAAAGACAGTACTGTATCATAATTGTCACCATCATCATCAGCAGCAGCAGCTTTATAAACATCATCAGCAGTCTTCTTTGGTTCTTTCGGTAAAGTCACGTAGAATGAGAATAAAATAATAAATTGATAAAACAAAATAACACAATAATATTCTCACGACGTTTCGGCCACAACACAAGCGGCCGAAACGTCGTGAGAATATTATTGTGTTATTTTATTTTATCAATTTATTATTTTATTCTCATTCTACGTGACTTTACCGAAAGAACCAAAGAAGATGAATCATTGCAGTCACGAAAGCTTTAAATCGAAATCATCAGCAGTGTCGTTATCAGCAGCATAAATAATGACCATTGTCATAAATCGCAGCATCATCATCAGCAGCATCATCAGCAGAAGAGTGTCATTGTCATCAACAGCATCGTTATAATCATCATCAGCAGAGTAAGTGTCATTGTCATCAGCAGCATCGTCATAATCATCATCAGCAGCAGAGTAAGTGTCATTATCATCAGCAGTAACATCACCATCGACATCAGCACGAGAACCATCGCCATCAGCAGTGTAGTGCAGTATGCTCACCGTTACACCAACACCCCTGTGTATTCAGGTGCCAAGGGGATACAAGGAGCCCCTGTGTACGGGGGGACCCACGGGGATGCGAGCCGGGCTTACGGTGTCTCGCAGAGGGGACGAAGAGACCCCTGCGTAGGGGACCCAAAGTGCACAAGAGGCGACCCCCGTGTAGGGATCCCAAGGGGATACCCCTATCTAGGGATCCCAAGGGGATACCCCTGTGTAGGGATCCCAAGGGGTCACCCCTGTGTAGGGGTATCTGAGAGGAGTCCCCTGTGTAGGGATCCCAAGGGGATACCCCTGTGTAGGGGTATCTGAGAGGAGTCCCCTGTGTAGGGATCCCAAGGGGATACCCCTATGTAGGGGTATCTGAGAGGAGTCCCCTGTGTAGGGATCCCAAGGGGATACCCCTATGTAGGGGTATCTGAGAGCAGTCCCCTGTGTAGGGGTCCCAAGGGGATACCCCTGTGTAGGGGTATCTGAGAGGAGTCCCCTGTGTAGGGGTCCCAAGGGGATACCCCTGTGTAGGGATCCCAAGGGGATACCCCTGTGTAGGGATCCCAGGGGTCACCCCTGTGTAGGGGTATCTGAGAGGAGTCCCCTGTGTAGGGATCCCAAAGGGGATACCCCTGTGTAGGGATCCCAGGGGTCACCCCTGTGTAGGGATCCCAAGGGGATACCCCTGTGTAGGGATCCCAGGGGTCACCCCTGTGTAGGGGTATCTGAGAGGAGTCCCCTGTGTAGGGATCCCAAAGGGGATACCCCTGTGTAGGGATCCCAAGGGGATACCCCTGTGTAGGGATCCCAGGGGTCACCCCTGTGTAGGGGTATCTGAGAGGAGTCCCCTGTGTAGGGATCCCAAAGGGGATACCCCTGTGTAGGGATCCCAGGGGTCACCCCTGTGTAGGGATCCCAAGGGGATACCCCTGTGTAGGGGTATCTGAGAGTAGTCCCCTGTGTAGGGATCCCAAGGGGATACCCCTGTGTAGGGATCCCAAGGGGATACCCCTGTGTAGGGATCCCAAGGGGATACCCCTGTGTAGGGATCCCAGGGGTCACCCCTGTGTAGGGATCCCAGGGGTCACCCCTGTGTAGGGGTATCTGAGAGGAGTCCCCTGTGTAGGGATCCCAAGGGGATACCCCTGTGTAGGGATCCCAAGGGGATACCCTTGTGTAGGGGTATCTGAGTCCCTTGCCTGAAGGGTTCGAGGGAGCCGCGTGTGGGGAGCGGTCGCGGATCAATGGAAGCGATTAGTGCAGAGCGCAGGTTGCTAGGCAACTGAGCCCTGTGTGAATACACAGGGCAGCAGTGTACACGTGTGTGTACAGCGTGTACAACCATCGTCACACCCATCGTTACCACCGCAACCATCGTCACACCCATCGTTACCACCGCAACCATCATCATAGCCATGATTACCACCACAACCATCATCATCAGCCCCATCATTACCACCGCAACCATCATCATCATTATCCCCATCACTACTCCCACCAACATCATCATCATCATCCCCATCGTTATCACCACAACCGTAATCATCATCGCTCTCATTACTACCACCATCATCATCCTTCTCATCATTACCACTACAACCATCATCATTATCCCCATCACTACTCCCACCAACATCATCATCATCCCCATCGTTATCACCACAACCGTAATCGTCATCGCTCTCATTACTACCACCACCATCATCATCCTCCCCATCATTACCACCGCAACCATCATCATCCTCCCCATCATTACCACCGCAACCATCATCATCATTATCCCCATCACTACTCCCACAAACATCATCATCATCATCCCCATCATTGCCATCACAACCATCATCATCCTCCCCATCATTACCACTACAACCATCATCATTATCCCCATCACTACTAACACCAACATCATCATCATCATCCCCATCGTTATCACCACAACCGTCATCATCATCGTCGCCATCATTACCATCACAACCATCATCATCCCTATCATTACCACCGGCACGGCCATCATCTATACAGTATTATCACCGCCACAACAACCATCATGTTCGCCATTATTACCACCACCATCACTATGCTGTCGAGCGCCCATGGTTGTTAGCAGGCGTCTGACATAGAGCACGTGCCGCTCCGCCACGCCTGGGACGGTGTCGGTGTGGACTAGGGGCGTGCAGTAGAAGAGTGGAGGTGTGGACTAGGGGCGTGCAGTAGAAGAGTGGAGGTGTGGACTAGGGGCGTGCAGTAGAAGAGTGGAGGTGTGGACTAGGGGCGTGCAGTAGAAGAGTGGAGGTGTGGACTAGGGGCGTGCAGTAGAAGAGTGGAGGTGTGGACTAGGGGCGTGCAGTAGAAGAGTGGAGGTGTGGACTAGGGGCGTGCAGTAGAAGAGTGGAGGTGTGGACTAGGGGCGTGCAGTAGAAGAGTGGAGGTGTGGACTAGGGGTCTGCAGTAGAAGAGTGGAGGTGTGGACTAGGGGCGTGCAGTACAAGAGTGGAGGTGTGGACTAGGGGTGTGCAGTAGAAGAGTGGAGGTGTGGACTAGGGGCGTGCAGTAGAAGAGTGGAGGTGTGGACTAAGGGCGTGCAGTAGAAGAGTGGAGGTGTGGACTAGGGGCGTGCAGTAGAAGAGTGGAGGTGTGCACTAGGGGTCTGCAGTAGAAGAGTGGAGGTGTGGACTAGGGGCGTGCAGTACAAGAGTGGAGGTGTGGACTAGGGGTGTGCAGTAGAAGAGTGGAGGTGTGGACTAGGGGCGTGCAGTAAAAGAGTGGAGGTGTGGGACTAGGGGCGTGCAGTAGAAGAGTGGAGGTGTGGACTAGGGGTGTGCAGTAGAAGAGTGGAGGTGTGGACTAGGGGCGTGCAGTAGAAGAGTGGAGGTGTGGACTAAGGGCGTGCAGTAGAAGAGTGGAGGTGTGGACTAGGGGCGTGCAGTAGAAGAGTGGAGGTGTGGACTAGGGGTCTGCAGTAGAAGAGTGGAGGTGTGGACTAGGGGCGTGCAGTACAAGAGTGGAGGTGTGGACTAGGGGTGTGCAGTAGAAGAGTGGAGGTGTGGACTAGGGGCGTGCAGTAGAAGAGTGGAGGTGTGGACTAGGGGCGTGCAGTAGAAGAGTGGAGGTGTGGACTAGGGGCGTGCAGTAGAAGAGTGGAGGTGTGGACTAGGGGCGTGCAGTAGAAGAGTGGAGGTGTGGACTAGGGGTGTGCAGTAGAAGAGTGGAGGTGTGGACTAGGGGCGTGCAGTAGAAGAGTGTCGGTGTGGACTAGGGGCGTGCAGTAGAAGAGTGGAGGTGTGGACTAGGGGTGTGCAGTAGAAGAGTGGAGGTGTGGACTAGGGGCGTGCAGTAGAAGAGTGTCGGTGTGGACTAGGGGCGTGCAGTAGAAGAGTGGAGGTGTGGACTAGGGGCGTGCAGTAGAAGAGTGGAGGTGTGGACTAGGGGTGTGCAGTAGAAGAGTGGAGGTGTGGACTAGGGGCGTGCAGTAGAAGAGTGGAGGTGTGGACTAGGGGCGTGCAGTAGAAGAGTGGAGGTGTGGACTAGGGGCGTGCAGTAGAAGAGTGGAGGTGTGGACTAGGGGCGTGCAGTAGAAGAGTGGAGGTGTGGACTAGGGGCGTGCAGTAGAAGAGTGGAGGTGTGGACTAGGGGCGTGCAGTAGAAGAGTGGAGGTGTGGACTAGGGGCGTGCAGTAGAAGAGTGGAGGTGTGGACTAGGGGTCTGCAGTAGAAGAGTGGAGGTGTGGACTAGGGGCGTGCAGTACAAGAGTGGAGGTGTGGACTAGGGGTGTGCAGTAGAAGAGTGGAGGTGTGGACTAGGGGCTGTGCAGTAGAAGAGTGGAGGTGTGGACTAAGGGCGTGCAGTAGAAGAGTGGAGGTGTGGACTAGGGGCGTGCAGTAGAAGAGTGGAGGTGTGGACTAGGGGTCTGCAGTAGAAGAGTGGAGGTGTGGACTAGGGGCGTGCAGTACAAGAGTGGAGGTGTGGACTAGGGGTGTGCAGTAGAAGAGTGGAGGTGTGGACTAGGGGCGTGCAGTAAAAGAGTGGAGGTGTGGACTAGGGGCGTGCAGTAGAAGAGTGGAGGTGTGGACTAGGGGTGTGCAGTAGAAGAGTGGAGGTGTGGACTAGGGCGTGCAGTAGAAGAGTGGAGGTGTGGACTAAGGGCGTGCAGTAGAAGAGTGGAGGTGTGGACTAGGGGCGTGCAGTAGAAGAGTGGAGGTGTGGACTAGGGGTGTGCAGTAGAAGAG